ACAGGAGATAAGAGCACCTCCATTTCTCCGAGTACTCTGCTACCTCACCTCCACAATACGGCCATTGCTCATGACACAGATGAGGTCAGCCCCTTGAATGGTGCTCAGCCGATGGGCGATTATAAGCACAGTGCGACCCTTCGTGGCCCTGTCAAGCGCCTCCTGCACCACTCGCTCGGATTCTGCATCCAGGGCGCTGGTGGCTTCATCGAGCACCAGGATGGTAGGGTTCTTGATCAAGGCGCGGGCGATAGCAATGCGCTGTTTCTGGCCGCCTGATAACGTCACACCTCGTTCACCTGGGTTTAGAATCGAGGGCTTAGTATTTAAATGGCACACAAATTTGAATGTTTGTAAAGGCCTAAACGAGAGCACATACCAACAATGGTGTTATAGCCGTCTGGGAAACCTGTAATGAAGCTGTGAGCATTGGCTTGCTTGGCTGCATTAATGACCTCTGCATCTGTGGCCTCAGGCATCCCAAAGCGGATGTTCTCCATGATGGATGATCCGAACAAAACTGGCTCCTGCGAAGATACAGGGTGGAATATATGGTGAAAACATCTGTACGCGAGTATAATTAATAGTTTTATTAAACTCTAATTATCCATATTTTAAACACTGGGATGCATTTATGAACAATCTTTACCTGACTGATAAATCCAATGACTTGCCTCCTGAGCCAGCACAGATCTAGTGTTCGAATATTGAGTCCATCTAGCATGATCACACCGCTGGTTGGGTCATAGAAACGCTCCAGCAAGGACGCCACAGTGGACTTTCCTAAAATTTATTGGAGTAATTATTTGTAGGCTCGCCATCATGTTGTTTACGTGTTGACTAAGAAAATTACCTCCTCCAGATTCCCCAACAAGGGCGACAGTTTTACAAGGTGGCAGCGTTAAGTTGAACTTCTTCAAGATCTGATGGCCAGGTCTTGTTGGATAGCTTAAAAAAAAAAAAAAGAGCTCAATAGATCGTCTAATATTTATGTTTACATATGTAGAATTGTCTTGAAATCTACTTCTGTTTTGACTAAGGTGAAGTTCCAACCTGAACGAAATGTTCATAAAATCCACTCTTCCTGTCAGAGAATGGTACGGGATGCGTCCTCCTCCAGACATTGGAATGGTTGGCTTCAAAGATAGGTATTCAAAAACCCGGGCCCCAGAGCTCATTCCTCTCACCATCTGTTGCAAATGTGAGAGATTAGCTTGTTTTCTCTTTAAATAATTTTTCAGATTTATACACATTTGCACACAATATAATTCTGCATTTCAAGGTAATGCATATTCTACACATGTATACAATTTTTACTCACCTGTCCAAAAAGGATAGAGATACTGGCCAATGACCTGAGCACAAAGAGAATACAGGAGTTATATCAGCTACATTTGATTGTAAATTGTGATAAAGAGCAATCATTGTGGAGCACGTTGTGTCTTTTACCTCTGAACGGTCTGGGAAGCAACAAGGAAAGACATGAGGTCTCCAGGGGACATTTCATTGCTTGAAATTAAAGTCCCTCCAGCGAAAATAGTTCCAAGGACAATGCCTGTATTAACAGCATACAACATAAAAGCATTACTGTACACCAATCTGCTCAACGTTGTGTTTATAACTTGACATAGTAAAATATACTCACAGTTCAGAGCAACATTTGATAGTCCTTGGAAAACTGCTATTCCAGCACCAAGCTTCTCATTCATTTCACATGATTTGTCAACTTCATATGCATATAACCTGCAGGAAAAAAAAGATTTTGGAAATTAAAATATACTACCTCTGACATACAGTATACCACATCTCTAGAAGTACTATGGCTACATCAAGATATACTCTCACTGACTGGAGCTCCCGTTCCTCCATCGCAAAAGCTTTCACTGTCCGCACATTGCCAAGTGCCTCATCTGCCACTCCTGTTGCTTTTGCAACCTTAAATTAAACACCAACAAAGTTAAGTCAAGACACAGAGTAGCAGTCAAGAAGAAATTGCAAAGAAACTTGGCATCTTAACATTGGTGGGCAGGAGTGAGAACAGATCTATAGTATGTTAAGAGAAGAGGAGGTACAGTATGCCTGCCACTTTGTAAAAAAGGTCTGTGCTACTTGGTCATATCTACAGCTTTTTGCCCCTTGTAACATGGCAATGAAACTCAAACTGTATACAAGACATTGTGCAGTGCTAACAAAGATTCAGAACAAAATGATAAAACTTAATTCGGTATCACCTGTTCTTGAGCCAAACGGGATAGTTTGCGGAGGACTGAGCCCATGAGAGCCCCTGCTCCCACTAAACAGGGGAGGACAACCACTGTCAAACCTGTGAGTTTGGGGGAGATGAAATAGAGAGAGACAAAACAGCCAACTGTCTGTGTAATACTCCGCAGGCCCTGCAAACATGCAAAAATAGCAAAAGAAATTGTAATTAGAAGGCTAAAACTATATAGCATGTTACTTATTTTACAACACAAATATAGAATGTCAAACCTGAGAGATGACCAATTTAAAGGATGACTTAAACTCCTGAATGTCAGCAGTCAGACGATTCACCAGCTGCCCGGTTTTATTGACATCAAAGAAAGCCACATCTTGCCTGAGACAAAAAAAATGTTTGACTGCAGATGTAGTCCACCCATGATCTTAATAATGGCCATTAGTATAAAACCAGCATCCTTTCTGGTGATCGTTGCTTTTACTGTAACCATGCATTCTTTTTTCTCTAACATTGAGCTGTATGTACCTCAGTAAGGATGCAAAAAGGGTCTTCCTCATGTCTGCTGCCACTCTCTCCCCCACCCTTGAAAGCAGGATGATGTAGCCACTCGTCAGCAGGCCCTGCATAAAGGAGGTGATTGATTTTTTCAGAATGATCGTAAGTGGAAAAGAACACGCAAATATGTTAGGGTAAGCCACAATTGATGGGGCAGAATTATTTGAAGAAAATGCATTAATCACAGTTACACTTTAAAATGTAATATATAAGACAGCACACCAGATTAGCCCAGTGGTTCTCAAACTTTCTCTGTCATGACTCCCTTTCAAAAGTCGAACAAAGTCATGTTTTTTTTATTTCACTTCATAAAATCATGTTATTAAACTTAGCTCCACTCAGTGTTTTTCCCCATGTCATCTGCGCCCACCCTGCAGTGGTTCTATGTCCCCCCAAGTTTGAAAACCACTGGATTAGCCCAAGACTCCTTGTGGAATTAGAACACCTGACCGAGCAATCACAGTTATATCTTAAGTTTATCTCCATTTAACAGCAGAAAAAAATGGCAGAAAATAATACAGTACAGAAATACTGACTTGTGTACTTACTTGAATACCATACAGTCCAAGTAATTTCAGTGCAGGACCTCTAATTTCATGGACATAACTCCTAGTATGTTCTCTCAGGTAACGTGCCACAACATTCACCAGATCTCCAAGCAATAAGGGAATTTGAATATTTAAGATAGCTGCACCAAAAGCAAGCTGAAAAGAAAAGTATGCAATTTAGCAAACGTGACAATGTCACTATCTTACGCATATGTCACATTATAGTTTACTTTAGAAGCACTGACATTACATTCAAGTAAACTGATTCAAGCTTACCACAACAGCACCAATGAGAGCAAACAGTTGTGGTTTGACAAATTCCCAGAGGATATGCCATTTGAACTCAGGTACAGGGTTTTTGGCCACAACTTCCACCAGGGTATTGTTATTCACATCTGCCTCGCAGTAAGCTACATGGCAAAACAGTCGTGCAGAGACAGAGAGGACTGCTGGTCCCAGCATGAACTTCAGAGCCACTCCCAGGGGTATGGGTGTTCGGGTGGTGGACTGGCGGACAGCTCTCTGCGTGAGGCTCCATATACGACTGACAGCACTTCGAGGCTGCTGTAAGGAGCTGTATGCATTAGGTCCTGGAGATGTATACCACCTGGATATGAAAAGGAATATCAATGTAATAAATATTATCATCTAAGTATTACAAAGTGCATGTAACAAATGCTATTTGTTTTAGACAAGAGTTTAGACTGATCTGAATTAGGGCTGCGACTAGTATTAATCCAATGATTATTTTCAGTTACTTGTCATTATTAATCTTTTCTCCATCTTACATTGGAATCGCGTCACTGGCAGCATGAACAGAAGAAATGATTACAGTGACCACTCTCTCACTATGGGTATGTGAGTAGTCTAAGTAAGTAGTATAATCCTTAAAATTGCTTGTTTTGTCCAAAAACAAAAGTTACAGAAGCTAGAGCCGGCAGATGTTTGATTTTAACAATTAATTGATCATCACAATTCACTAAATGCGTGATGTTTTCTCAGTTTTAACAGGAAGAAACATTATTTGATTTTTAATGTTTAGTTTTCTCTTACAGATCAAAAGACAAATCAGTGTAAGCATGAACACTAAACAAGTACATCCCATTGTATTTATCTATATATATCTGAATACTAGGAAATCAGCTCAAGATGTACTATCCAGAAAATACAAGTAGGCCACGCTTGTCAGTGTTGATTAACTAACTTATGCCTTATAGTAGATTTAGCTAAACTAGGTACTGGTCACATTACCCTACCGTGAACGTTTCCATATGTCTGCTGTTTTATTGCATCGCGGGTATAACAATGACCGCACTGGAGCAGAGATACTTGCTCTACAACTGAATAACTGAAACATGTTCTAAGCTTATTTCAGTGACAGAAACAAAATATTCGTTAAGCTCTACATTAATCCACAAGCAACCTGCAGGCTGCCATGTTGACTCTGCCCCAGAGTGCATTTCTGTGGCTATAGAGGACAACATTTTTTACTTTGAATAGTAACAACAGCGTGACGGTTTATTTAACAACAAACAACAGACTGACAAATTAAAAACAAAAAAATTTACAACAAAACACGACAGAAATCGGACTTTCTTTGGGTAAAGGCTAAAAAACTACAGTTGATAGCCGGAAATGACAGTGGGTTAAACCAGAGGTGACGTCAATTACGTTTTGTTGACATTTATTTGTGAAAGACAAAAACAGTGGACAGGCACTGGATGGTGTATTTTTGGAAACCGGACCGACGGACCTCGGGACAGACTGGAGACCACCGGATTGTGATTAATACATATCTGCGTGTATTAGACCAGCTCTGGTCAAGATGTGACGCCAAGCAAGGACGAAAGAAGATCTAGATCAGCAGATGGACGAACCAAGTCGGGAACAAAACAAACCGTGTCACCCAGACTACAGTAACGTTAGAGGCTGAATCATTCACATGCTAACAGCCACCTGAGAGCTGAGTTAGGTTTGAATTTTATAGTAAGGTAGCTAACGGTCATTTGTTGATCTGTCGAAGATTCTTGTACTTATCTCTTATCCGCCTCCCAGTTTATTATACATGTTACAATGGTAGTGTAGGCTTACACAAGCGTTGTCCGTTAGACTAGCAAGTTAGCAAGCTAACGTTAGCTGTTGCTAACGTTACCCTTATTTGAACTGCTGAGAAGCTAACTAGCTACAGAATGTACTGAGGTTGCGAGACTGCATTCTTTTCATACAGTGTTTACTACAAGTAGCTCGTCAGTTCGGAGTGACCTTAAGAATGTGAAGCACAATGGCCAACTTTGAAGCTTACCAGGAGTATCAGAGAATTGAGGACTTCGAGGAGGACTCGCCACCAGGGGAGGAGGATTTACTGGTGCACGTGCCTGAAGGCCTGAAAGGTAAACATGTTATTACGACTAAAGTATATTATTTTCTAACTGCACATGGAAAATCTTGCTCCTTTTAATAAATAGGTTGAAAAAAATGATGCGACTGGGTCAAAATGCTTTGGGTCTTTGTAATGCTTTCATTTATGTTACAGACTCCTGGCACCATATCAAGAACCTGGATAACTTCTTCACAAGAATATCCTTTTAGATAACCGTGCAGTTAAATAGCAGGTCTTCCAAAGTGTACTCTCATTGCATGTGTCAGTGGCATTACACCATCCTGACGCAGACTCATTCAGATGTTTGTCTGTAGTCAGATTTAGAATCTGTTGAATTTCACAATGTTTACTTGTTGACTGCTATATACTTTTACAGTGTTACTACAGTCATCAATTTGAAAGGGCATTTTCAAGGTAATCTTGAGTGTGTTCCTTGATATATTTGTGATATATTGTGTAGTTCTGAAGATTGTTTGTGCTCTATCAATGTACTTTCAGTGACTGTAGTATAAGGTCATGTTAAGTGTTTTCAATGTTGTGTTGTCAGATTTTCCTTAACCAGCCCTCCCACATCTATCATTTTCATCAAAAGAATGGCTTTGCTTGTATGATGTTGTCGGAGTTCTTTGAACTTGTGTAAGTATCGTATAGTGCAATATACTGATTTGAGACGCTTGGAATGCTCCATGAGATATAGTAATTAGAAGCATTAGGTTGAGTTTGCAGTTCCAACTGGACGCTTGATTTAAGTAAAACTTGGGCCTCGTTTATGTCACTGGTTCTTTTTCATGTTGTTATGACAGTCGACTGTGCCTCAGGCTTGAGCGTGAACAAGTCCAGCCAGATATTTTCAACAGCAGCTGTACTTGTGGAGAATCCCATGTGAAAAAAAATCCACCTCACTAAACACTGACACTGTGATGATTGCTTTTTTACTATTTATTTTGTTACTCTTTTTATTGTCATTACTTATTTAGTTTTCCCAGCATTCCTCCTGGTTGAACTTATTCTGTTAGCCTCAGTCACATCAGCATTCCAGTGTGTCAGTTCAACATATTGTTTATTTTTCAGTCCTGCTTCTACTGTGCTAGCAGGCCATCTGTATTACTGTGAATCTGGCCACAGTCGCCATATTAACGTGGAGCCATTTAACCATTATCTGGAGAAAACAAACCAGTCAACATATTTAATAAGGGAACTGCAATTGATCTGTCTTAACCGCACTATTCTACATTTATCACTCCACAGTAAATGCTGAGTGCACTGTCCTGCGGCTTGATGGTTAGAAATTAAATATAGTCACTTATCTTAGAACTGTATATCAATATTTTTCTATTTTGTCATTGTTATTAGTTTTTTTTGTGTATTTTACTGTCTGTAAGAATGATGCCTAATGTCTTTTTTTTTTTTCATCTCATCCAAACAGTCAGTTATTGTTTGTTGTCACATTCACAACGTTCCTTGTCAACTGTGTGGAGTATGATGTCCTGTTTGCCAATCGAGCGGTCAACCACACTGGGCCAGGCCAGAACCCCTTGGACAGAAACAAAGTCACTCTTCCAGATGCCATCCTACCCAGCCAGGAGTGTACTCAAAGGTAATCTTATTTAATACAGTGTTATGGAGAGCTTTAGTGTTTTTCCTATGGGGGAGAAATGAGTGGAAGAGTCGAGGTGAATTCATCAAAAAAGGCTATGCAGTCACATAAAGTGATGGGCCTGTCCTGTCATTCCAGCCCGTTTGATCAGATAAATTGTTCTCAAGCAGACATGGTCTCTGATATTATCAGAGCACTTTTAGAGACAGGCCTTCAGAGGGATTTAATTGCTTTGGCTTAATTCAGTTGTAATAAGGCTTTCAGACTTAATTTCTTTTTGTATTGTGTCAAATTTGGCTTCAGACTAAAAGATACACTCACATTAACAGGGAAGGCATATGGACCAGTAGCATATTTAGCTGTACCCTGTGGGTTTCTTATTTACCCAAGAAAATCATGAGAACTCTTGAATTTGTAATGGTAGCCAAGGACTCTTCAAGCTCTTTTGTTAACTGTCACCACTCTAAGAAGTGATGAGAAGAAACAGGCTTTTAATGTTAATGGCCCTTCATGACCAGGAACACTCACCTATAACTGATTGTTGCTGGAGCTAAACATCCGTTGCTTGTTTTATTCTTAAACTGTTGTCCCAAAAGAAGCAACTTTAACACACATCCAAAATATGACCTCAGTGTTGTCTTTGTGCCTTATCCTTTTGACGACATTTGCCAAGTTAAAGTAAAACTGTTCCATGAAAAAGCATATAGTTTAATCAGATTGATATAGTTATTTTTATGTTTAAAATACAATGCACATCTTGTTCTAGGAAATTTCTTTCTTTCTCAGCTTTGTTGTTTATTTCAACTTGAGATTGGTAGCTGCGAGAAGCAACCTTCCTCCAGCCGATGGTTACTTGGAAGCCGGTGTTTGTGTGCTGTGTTCAGGCTGTCTTTAGGGAACACGCCAATGTAATTGATAGCTTCAGCAAGTAAAACTGGCCATCCAAAATCCTGACAACTCGGCTGGGCCAACAAGCTGACAACCACATGACGCCTCACTAGCTGACTGCAAGGGACAGTTTCCCTCCCCCCATGTTGTTATATTTTTCTCCCTAAGTTGTAGCCTAGCCTCTGCTTGTTTTCTAACAGTCTAACAGGCCTGTCATCAATTTGTTCCTGATTTTAACGGTGGCTCAATAGTCATTTATATCAAAGTCAATGACGTACAACCACTTGGAATTCTAATTTGGGAACATCTTGTCTCGCAGTTTGTAGCCTCTCTGTCGTCCCCATGGCCACTCTCTAATTTCTCTGTTAAACCAGTTGTTTGTCCTAAAAACATTATAATATTTTGTTTATTATATCTGAAAGTGATAAAATATAAAATGATGTAAAGGGGCAGCAACAATTGCACAGAGGTTAGCTAATGTATGTTTATAAGTATGGCTAATGTAATTTCCACTGTGTTCTGTGTTATGATTTGTTGGCCTTATACTCGGAAGATTCCTTAATTTTAGAATGGCTGCTTCACCCACAATCCGTAAACATGAGTTTAGTGTCGGTTTAGTTTTAACATACACTAAAAGAGTCCATTTACAATGTCATAAGAGGAGAGGGGGTGCCATATGTGTGTCTCTGAATACACACTATAGATGTTTGTCATTTTACAAATATTCAGAATACCAGATTTTGAATTAGCTTCCCTCCCACTTACCCACTTTCTTATTTGATTTAGGCTTGTTTGGTTTGCGATCTCTCAATCCACTTCCACACACACTTCCACAATTGCTTGATCATTGTAGCTCTTTCATTAAATGTCCTTGTTTGAATACAGCTATAACTTACATTTACATAGTTGCCATTACTTTAACAGATACATAAAGCCAGCCATGTCTGAAAAGGACTTTTGTTTTTATTCAGGATTCAAGAGAATAGCTGGATTATATTCCTTCTCATCATGGCAGCCATCTTCTGGATCTATCGACTTGTTAAAGTCTTCTGCAATGTTCTGAGCTACTGGGAGATCAGGCAGTTCTACATCAAAGCACTGAAGATCAAAATGGTAAGTCCTTCACCTGGAGACCTTATCTGTACATGCTACGGTAAAAAGGCCATCCAAATCAATCTTATGGCAAATGTCTTGTGCTTATGATCATAAAACGATAACATGAATATAACCCCGGTCAAAATGATGAGTTGTGTTATCATGCAGTTGCTCTGTATGTAGTATTAGTCAGTTAACGTTGTGCTCCTTGCCCCCTTGTCCCAGGATGATCTATGCAATTTCACATGGCAGGAAGTTCAGGACCGGCTCATCAGCCTGCAGCGAGAGCAGCAAATGTGCATACACAAGAAAGAGCTAACAGAACTTGACATCTATCACCGCATCCTGCGATTCAAGAACTACATGGTGGCCATGATAAACAAGTCCCTGCTGCCAGTGCAGCTGCAGCTCCCCCTGCTGGGCAATGTGGTGTTCCTCACCCAGGGCCTCAAGTACAACTTTGAGCTCATCCTCTTCTGGGGTCCTGGCTCTCTGTTTCAAAATAAGTGGAACCTGCACCCCAAGTACAAGCGGAGTGGGAACCGCCTTGAGCTCGCCCAGCAGCTTAGTAGAGTCATTCTGCTGATGGGTTTGGCCAACTTGCTGCTATGTCCCTTCATCCTGGTGTGGCAGGTGCTGTACGCTTTCTTCAGCTACACCGAAGTGATCCGCAGAGAACCCGGAAGCCTGGGTGCACGACGCTGGTCCCTGTACGGTCGTTTGTACCTGCGCCACTTCAATGAGCTTAACCACGAGCTGCACGGACGCTTAGGCCGTGGCTACAAACCCACTTCCAAATACATGAACTCCTTTACGTCACCATTGCTGACTGTGCTGGCTAAGAACATTGCCTTCTTCTCAGGCTCAGTGTTGGCTGTGCTCATTGCACTGACTGTCTATGATGAGGATGTTCTGACAGTGCAGCACATTCTGACCGCTATCACTGTGCTGGGGCTGGTTATTACTATCACCAGGTGAGTGTTCCGAGCCAGCCCTTTTCCCTGGGGGTACTCCAGGATCACTATCAGTAGGTGTTAAACTTAAGGAGGTTCTCTGTACTTTTTAATTGTTACTCTTGCTGTTTATAGTATGTTATGCAGAAAACCGTAAACTAAATATGATTTGCAAAAGTTTTTATTTTCTTAATTAAATAATTGATTTAGTTGTACTTCTTTAGTGTGCAGAGTTTTTTTTTTTTTTTTTTTTATTTTTTTAATTTATGGGGGTAAGTGAATTTTATGAATATTTTAAGGGCATCCTTGTCCCCTAATCAGTCAGACTAAATGTGCAGCTATAGTAGTAATGTTGAGAAATGCACAGACTTGGTACCTTTCCTACACCAGGTCCTTCATCCCAGATGAGCATATGGTGTGGTGTCCAGAGCAGCTGCTGCAGTGCATGCTGGCACACATTCACTACATGCCAGACCACTGGAGGGGCAATGCTAACAAGAGCGAGACCCGTGACGAGGTGGCGCAGCTGTTCCAGTACAAAGCGGTGAGGAATGGAGACACTCGGTGGATAGGAACACATTTGTCACAGTCAAACTAAAGTTATTGATGAGTTTTTGTTGTGATAGATGACGTTTTTGATGTAGCACCCGGTCAATGATGTAACAAATCGCTGGATTTATTGAGGCATTTTTGGGAACGTTAATCTCCATTTGCCGATGTGTAGAATATGAATATATTTAGAATTTGAGAATCAGTGTTGTCTCTGTCCTAATCAGGTGTTCATCTTAGAGGAGTTGCTCAGTCCTATTGTCACGCCCTTCATTCTCATCTTCCTCCTGAGGAATAAGTCTCTAGAGATCATTGACTTCTTCAGGAACTTCACTGTGGAGGTGGTTGGAGTTGGGGACATCTGTTCCTTCGCACAGATGGACATCAGACGGCATGGAAACCCAACAGTACGATTTATTCCTTCTGTTACGTAGGATTCAAGCCAGTTCATTAGCTTTTGTCAAACTGGAGAGTATGACTCAATTGGCACAGGACTTGGTGGTTATTTAATGTAATGTTGTGATTGATATATCCCTTTAAATGTTTTTGCAGTGGATGTCAGAGGGCCAGACGGAGGCTTCCATTTACCAACAGGCCGAAAATGGCAAGACAGAGTTATCTCTTATGCATTTCACCATTAAGAACCCACACTGGCAGCCGCCTCAGGAGAGTTCGGTGTTTATCAGCCATCTAAAGGAAAAGGTGCAACACGATGCACAGGGCGGCCCATCCACCCAGCTGCTGCTCTCTGAGGCGCCTCTCTGCACGTCACTGCAGTCAAACGAGTCAGGCACTGGGGTAAGAAACCCTAAGGGACCATGTTGATCACACAAATACCATGTACCACACATTTCCATTCCAATCTAATGTTACTTACTCAGTGCTGTGTACTGATGTTGTTGTTTCCAGCCTGAAAATCTGTTGGCCAGTGTCTTGGCCCACCCCATTCTAACTGCGTCAGGACTACAAGGGCGAGACCGTCGCTTCATCCCACCAAGCACCGCCGCTTCTGCTGCTGCCAGTGTCCTGGCCTCCTTGTCCACCTCCCAGCTTGCACATCCCAGCCGCGGCCGCTCACATGGCCTCCTGCCCTCATCCGTCCACCCCGAGAGCACCATGTACCGCAGCGATCGCACCGTCATTGACAGGTAGTTGTCACACAAGACATTTTTTTTACTGCATTACTTACCTTCTTCAGCTATGTGAAATTCATAAATAAATGCAAATGCTCCCTTTCTAACCTTGGGTTACATGTTATTTTTTCAGTATGTCTAACAGCGACTCTCACATCCGGAGCAATACACTGCACACAGAGTTTGCCTCAGCGGAAATGAGCCTCCATGCCATCTACCTGCATGAGGTATTTCCTAACTATGAACTGTAACCTCCAGACAGTTACAGTTGACAATTTTCAGTATCTCTCTCTTGTCGACCACTCCAATGTTCTGCTGTACGCTGTATGCTGTAAACTGCTTGTCTCTCCAGCTCCACCAGCAGAGCTCCCACCCACAGAGAACTTCGGGGCAGTGGCAGAACCCAGTGCCAATGAGAGATCTGCACACAAACGCTGGTAAATGAAAGCATTGAGTTTGAGGAACCTTGCAGCCTCATTATAGCTGAAAAGAAATTATGTTACTGTCAGCATGTAGTTCTGTTGTGACGATTTATGACCCGCAATTATAAATATGTCTGATATTAAGATTGAATTAAATGACTCTATATAATGCACAAAAGATAGCTGGATGGTTATGACCTTGATCTGCCGCACTTAACTACACACTCTTATCAGATCAACAACTAGAAAATTGATCAGAGCCTTAAAGGACTTTAGATACATATACGCTGTACACAGGACATGGAGCAGTATGTAAATTTGCCAGGTGACCTGCCTTTGTTAACATATTACTAAAATCTCCATAAAAGGTGTAAACCACTGATCATTAAACCTGCAGTGTTATATTCAGAGGCAGGATAAGATTTAAACAGACTATGCCAAAGAAAGACCGTGACCCTGTATCAACACTCTTATCAGGTTTCCAGGCACATAGTGGCCTTGGTACCAGTATTTCCATGCCCACTCCTGTCCATCTTGGGGGCTGGCAAGAGGAGGAGGAGGAGGAAGAGGGGGATGAAGATGATCAGGAGATTAACAGTGGATCTACTCCAAAACAGGGCACTGGGAGTAGTTGTTGAAGTGCCTTATGTCATAAGGTATATGCTCTCTTTTAAACTCTGTAATAAGACACTTGTCTACGATCTATGCTTTGTGGTTCTGTATCCTGTGACATACTTGTTTGTTGAACCTAACAACAAATGGCCTTTTATCCTACAAGGGATACATCGGCGTGATAATTTCTTCTCTTTCTCCCTTTTTTTTTTTTTTTTTTTAGTGTTTACATTTTACTTTCTTCTATGAACATTGTGGCCTTAGATGATCTTCATGGAGAATTTAGCATGGACCTTTTTAAAACACCATTCAGCGTTTATTGTAGGAGAGGCTCATTGAGTAACCACTGTCTCCGCACCTCCACGCGTCATCCTGTCACACCAGGCAGACTATGGCATCAGGGAAACCATATGTCTTCCGTCCGTTTCAACATGATTTTGTCATAAACTTGTACGGACAAACTGCGTTTAAAGTGAGAGAGACAATATAGTGTGTTCATAGGATCACTGTGTGATGGTGGGTGTGGCCAATTTTATTGTGGAATGCAAAATGCTCGTCGCGACTTTTTGCATAGCTTGTGTGCACAATTCATGTATTTGTGCATCACAAAGTTTAACAGCATGAGTCTAATTGAAGTTTGTCACAGAGTGGTGTCTTGATCTGTGCTACAAAGGCTGCAAGCTGTATCGTAGCTGTCTGAACAATTTTGATCACCTGAACAAACACATTCAGTATTTCAAGTTGTGCTGGTACCCTGGTGATTTGTATATACACTTTTGCGTCTTACTTATCCTTTTAATGTCCTCATTTTTACAACCAGATGTAATCCTTGACAAAGATACCAAGTATTGATATGATAAAGAGCTGACTGTACAGTAGCTGTACCACTAAAACACCATGTGTCCTAAAAGCCCTACTGGGTTAGACAAAACATGTCTTTAAACTAGACAGACACATGCTTCGATGGTGCCGTCTGTGTTTAGTGGTCCTAAATACAGATTCTATTCAGTATTACTATTTCCACAGCATGTATCAAGACATTACTATTTCTCAAAAACAGAGATGAAATCAAGGGTCCCAGATACGCTTGGCGTCAAAATCTGATGCAGATACAAGATGTCTTTTAAGTAGATTTAAGCTAGACACAAAGTCAGCTTTATGCCTTAACACCCATATAAAAACACAAGTATTTAAATCCTAGTTTTCCGTATTACCTCAGTGGTGGTGAAGAAAAACTAATACTCCATAATACCTCTGCAGTGTATTTACTCTTGTAAAATATATATAGTACACAAAGGTATATTTGCAGTGTACATATGCATCTTTTAACTGCATTTTGATTTTAATGGCAGGTGTAAATGGAATCTGTTTCATTTTCTGTTCCTATTTCTTGTCTAGCAGATGTTTTGAATCAAGCATTGATGTCCCAGAAATGGTGGGGATTAAACATTTTTTTGGGGTGACATTACAAATCTTTGTTGTGCACATTAACATTGTGTTTGTGTCCTTTACCCAAAATGCTCACATAAGAATGGAACATCATTGTAAGGGCTGTTTTAAGAGTGTGCACTGTGGACTGAAGATTTTAGGACAGCAGTTCCTCTCAGTGTTGGCTTCGTCCTTCCAAAGTAAAGAAAAAAGCCTTTCCACAGTCAGCATCATTTAGCTTTAGGTTTACTTATTGGATGGCCTTTGTACCGTAGCAAATATTTAATTGATTTATTTATTTGAAAAACATGTTTAGATAGTTTTGTCAAATCACTTGATTTCACAAAAGCTTATATTCTTATTATATTATACCCCCCCCCCCCACACACACACACACACACACACTAAAAGTAGTTAAAAAAGTACTTTTTGAATTTCAAATTAATATAAAAAGGCTTTATTAATGCAAAGACAACATGGCCAGCTGCATGATTTTGAATGTAATTTACACGTAATATAAACCGGGACTAAATCTGGTAGTTGATGCAGTGCGCAAAATATCTTTCTACCCATTTTTTATTACATCCTACACAGATCACAGTAATATTGATCTCATCCTCTTCGACTGCAAGACTTTAGAGGCTATGTGTCTTTGCCCTCTCGTGGGTTTCGAACTATTACATTTTCTTTGTGAGTGTGTCTGTGGGATGAAAATGTTTTGACACCTGCATCGTTATGCTAACATGAACTCTGAATTTTGCACTGACTGAAAATAAAAACATTTTTAACCAATGTGTGCATAGACAGTACTTGCAACAGTTACGTTTTAGAAAAGGCAGGTCTCAAAAGGGACACTGAGTCAGTGTCCACGTTGAATGACCTCTTCTCATTGTTTATAGATAAGCAAAGCATCAGCACGTATTGTATCGTCATTGCCCACAGCAGACCACCCGGAAGCACTGTGGCCAATCATATAAGATCCTTCTTACCTCTCCTTAGTAAAGATTCGCCCTGTAGGGGATGATGTGTGTTTCTGTTGCATTGTTAAATATGCTCACATGGGTATTGTGGTCACTGTCTATTTGTGCAGTGAGTTTATTATTGTAGAGACACTGGAGCTCAGCTTTGTGCACAGAGTTGGTTTCTTTTCACGGTCTCCACATTTACACCTCACTGTTACGTTTGTCTTTTTATTTTAAGCAGTGCCTTAGTATTGCTCTTCATAGAATCCAGTTTCACATTTAGCACGTACTATGTACAGTATTTCTTTTGGTAAATCATTGTGTATAGCATCAAGTATGCTATACACAGTGGTGAAGTTGTGGATGTGTCGTTGCGTCTGACAGCGCACTACTTCTGATCATGGTGTCTAAATCTGCACTTTCCTCTGTATCCTAAAGAAGCAGGAGCTTGTCTTGTTAATTGGCGGCATCATCATGGCCAACCTTCTCGTCATGCTATGGTTTCTTATCCACTACACACCAGTCTAAGAATCACAGTGACTGGAACAAGGTGCTAAGTTTTCATCCTGAAATGTTGAATATGTTTTGAGACATGTTTGTTTTGTTACATAGGTTTGTCTGTTTTGTTCTATAAATTAAGAAACACTAGCTGAAAAGTGAAACATGCCAAAAGAACTTGTTTTCGGCACAGCTTTACAATACATGTGTTGTTTTCTGTGAGTGGGTAGAGAGGCAAATAAATCTTATTTTGAGTGTATTTAATCATATCGTGTGGTTGATTGTGATGTTTATTTGAAATAAAAATATATTTTAATTTTGTGAGACATTTTCTCTACAAGTCTTGTCTGACACTGATGTATTAGTGTGGCTGCTTTTGTCTTTCTGAACTGAAAAGGTGGCCTTTACTATTACAGCATGGTGTTTATTCAGCATGGCTCATCAGTCCAACATTTTGGTCCAGAGTGATGTGGACTGCTGCTGGAATGATTGCCATGACATTTTGTATAGACATTTTTGGTCTTTCATTCATGAATGATGAGATTGGAAATCCTGTGGCTTTTCATCTAACATCCAGTATCTGTTAACATGCCAGTGAGATGCCATTACTATGTTAACTTGCCAACTATACTTCTAACCAGTGTTAGTTAACATGCAGCAAGTGCATCTGAGCCTGATAAGCTGAGTCAGAGATGTCCTAAAATGGTCCCTGTACAGAGGACACCGACCTCTGTAAAGTGACTCAATAAACCCAAGGATACTTAAAGCTCCTTTGTGTGGGATATGAAAATGTCTGACTTTGGTGACACCTAGTGGTAGTGTCAAAAAAGGTAGACATCAATGCAAGGTGCAATGAAGGTGTAACAGACAATGTAACAGTACTGACAAAACAATTAACCACTGAGGAACATCTAAAGGAGATTTACAATCACATTTCATATTATGTACATCTGATGTATATGTGTCTAATCTGATAAATCATCAGCAAGCTTTGGGCTTTTGAACCACATCGCCTTCCCAGAGAGTAAATAAGAGCTCACTGGCACAAATATTCAAGAAGGCAGAAGGCACTTTGTTTAATGATGCACACAGGCTTGATACAGATCTCTATATCCAAAGAAGGTTATAGTCAAAGTCGTTATGGTCGTTAGAACGTTAACCTTCTCTGGATATGACCTGGATGACTGAGAACCTTCACAGACATCCTGTTTAAGGCCATGCCTGTGTTTGTGCTGTGTGTCTCCCTTTACCCTCCCAGCTCACTCAGTCACTGTCTCTTTGCAGATACTATAATCAGTTCATTCCTCAGTTTAGACAGACAGTTCAGATCCACCTCTCCTGTGCAAACCATAATAAACACCCACTGGCTGAATTTATACCCTGTTTTTTAAACTTTGGCATGAACATCAAGTACAATGACATTGGCTTTGTACTTGCTTAGAATGCTTTTAATAAGAGTTCATTGTGCAAGAGAAGTGTAACTTGAGGTATAGGGGAACTTTCTGTTATGTGCATGAGGTTCAATGGTGGGTTTGTGCCCCCATTTTAATATTTACTTTTGTAAATCAGTTAGATGTTTTTGTTTTGTTTTGTTTTGTTTTGTGGGTTTTAGAGTAGTTAGGCTGACTTTTGGTTCACGGTTCTCTGCGGTGGCACCTCTTTGACCTGTGTTTTATCTGTTGTCCTATTAGGAACCCTGTCAATACTGTAAACACTTTCCACACTGTAATTAAACACCACATGCCTATTTTGACACACTATTTTTTGTCTCATCTGTTTTTTTTAATCTAGTTGGTTGTTGTCATTGTTTAAGTCCCCATAGATCATTTGAGGGACATTTGTCTCCCTTGTCATCTGCTGTATAAATGTTCTTTTGAGGTAACACCCATGTGTTTCGACTGTGAACATGATACAACCATGACCTTATTCTTGAAATGGCTAAAAGGTCAGGTGGAAGGCCATGTAGGTCAGATATTGGAGAGTATACATCGCAACTATTTTGTGAAAATTGTCTCATCACAAAGACATGTTTTACTTGGGAATTGATCCCACTCTATGGTTGGTTTTATATTTATACACACACACACACACACACACACACACACTGTATAGCCAGGTGCTATGTGCTGGAGCACAGTGACTTTTGGACAATTACCAGATGATGATGAAGTACCAAACATGATGTGATATGATGCAGTGATTGGATGTCAAGAAATGGTGACTACAGGATGAGAAATGGCAGGGGAGAAGAACAATTGGAGGTATGTTAAAATTTTAGTTTATATAAAAGAATGTTTTATTTTCAAGAAATATTCTAATCAGCGATCAAAAAAGGTTTTATGAAAATGGAGTTATGTATCAATCTCTTGTCCATTTTTCTTTTTTAATCAGTATACTTTCAGGAGTATGGAATCCAAACACAGTAGCCAGAACAGGATGAAGCAGAGGCAAGCAGCAACAGTGGATTACCGTCTGCTAGAGTTTCGGGGAGTTTAAATCAGGGTCCAGGCGACCTGCTGCTGTCAGTCATTGGCACTGGGGGAAAGCCCACTTTGGAAGACCAAGAAAATACCATGGGAGCCAAAGAATAGGGGAGGAAGGGGTAAGACTTGCTTGTCTTTGTAGACATTATAAGCATTAGATTTAAGAAATACAATTATTTCTCTAAATCTGGGATAAAATAGAGCCTCATAGAAAGTGGCACACAATTGCTATGTCATGCTGACTGATTGCTAAGTGTTTTCATCACTGTATTTTAGGCTTTTGTACAATATGAAGTCAGAACTTAAGTATGGACCTGATCAGCTGGGTAAAGCAGCTGTCACTGTGGTGATTTTGGGATACAATGTGCCACAAGCTCCAGTTTCCATTCAGTCAAAATATAGAGTTAACACACAATGCGGACATACACGTGGATAACAGGAATTTTCTATTCTTACTTTTAAGATGATGTCCACATGAAACGGAACATCAGAAAATGTGTAGAATGACAGTGAAGAAAGATACTGAGCAGTGAGCCACAGGCTGTGGCCATAGACATGCAAATGATGAGGTCATTGTTTAGAAAATGAAATATGTTTGTTTGCAGTGGTGGACTGTAACTAAGTACACATACTCAAATACTGTACTTAAGTACACTGTTGAGGTACTTTTAACTAACATACTTTATACCGCCACATTTTGGAAGCCAATGTTGTACTTTTTATGAAAACATTGGTTACTAATTACTTTGCAGATTCAGATTACTAATACAAAATATAAATCAACTAATAAATGATTATGTATTATTATGGATCAAGCTGCCCAGCAGCATATAAAGTACTTGAAATAAGCAACATTAGTGATGCTCACATATTAATGCGTGAGCAGTTGTTTTGTGGTTTTGTCGAGTTGAGTCTACAGTCATCCATAGTCCTGAACTATAGACAAATTTCGGGCTCCACTATGATTCTAGTCGAGTGACTCAAGTTCAGTTACACAAAAAGAGTGATCATTAATTATATATAGGGGGATTAGCCTGCTAATTCCAGTAGACACAGTTTATTTATTGGCCTGAAAGGCTACATCTCACCAACCATTGCTTGAATTTAATGTCACAACCTCCTTTAAAAACCCATCTCTAAGCAATTTATTTAAAAAGGAATACACTCCCAATTTTTGGATGCTATCTAGCTCTTGCTCCTACATAATTTAAACACAGAAAAATAAATTATTCTTTCTTTATGATGTGGAGAAGGCCATGGAACAGTATTTAGACCTTTGTGTGAGGAAATTAAAATTACAGAAAAGCCTATAAATGAAGTATGAAAAAGTAAAGTACAGTATTTTACAGACTTTCTTTATGGGATTTTGGTCTAATTTCTCAGCAACCAGAACATTATTAAGATAAAGTGGTAAATTGGTGCACAATTAGGCCTATAGTATGTAGGCCCATTAAATTCTGCTTATGTATGACCTGTTACACATAAAAATGTTGCTACTGAAAGAACCACTGCAGGTGTAAGCCATTTTGGTAGTAAAACTCTTATTATGAGTTGTTAACGACTGAGTTATAGCGTGCAGCCTGCAGCAGTGTGCAGCCCGGCAGAGACCAGCCTAGTCTACCCTCTTTCCCGACCTCACCAACAGGCTATCTCCTATCTCCACAGTAAATGACAAGTCTATTTTGGAAAGGAGGCTGCGCCAAAATAGGCACGTCAGCTATCTGGCATCAGGAGGTACGGGGGAAGAAAGAAAAAAGTGGTCTAGTCAACCGCCCACCACAGGAGACTGGGGGATGTTCCACCGCCCTGGATTTACAACCATTTCAAGGATATTTGAACACAAAGAAGAAATTTGGGGGGGGATTTGGGATTTCTAAACACAATATCGGAATAGACTTTCATCCGGAAACCCTGACGGTCAACTGACGTTTTAGCCCACATGATTCAGCGGCCGTTTTACCTGAGTAGCTGAAGAATCAAGGTGAAAAAGTAACGTTAGGCAAATAAATGATAATACCATTAATACCAAATGTTACAATAATTATTATACAGAGAATTTGACTGAAGTTATAGCAGTTTGTCCAATGAATTTCAACAGGAATGTGTATGGGTAACTGAACTATAGGCTATAGGCTTCTAAACTTTCACACCTGTAACGGTTAACAGTTGTCGTTGCTGCTTGGAGTTAAAGTGAAGCTAACCTAGCTAACGTCACAACTTCCAGTTTGGCTAAAAGTATGTTATTTAATAGCTAATTAGCCTACAAGCTTTATGCTCCAATTTTACAACGTTAATTGAAGTCCAGCAGACGTTTTAGTTAGCGTATAGAAAACGGTCACTGGGAGATATGAAGTTATGTTTCTGAAGTGGGAGCTTTATCAAACAGCTGATGTCCTGTTCGCTTCTACAAATGGCAATGGACAGAGACGGGGTCTGACAGCTGAAGTTATTTTTGGGACAGGCGGTTCAAGCGACAGAGGTGACAAAGCTGGCAAATGTCGCCCTTTCAAAGGCACATATCTACTCTGTTTGACCTTGTTACAGGGGAATTCAGGTGTTGTCGTGTTATTAATCTACCTTCCTACTGCATAGACTGCATGGCATGAAGTTAAGTCCATGTCTGCAGGGCCAGGACAGGAGGGTAGGCTGACTGAGACTTACTGTAAGTGCCAGCCATAAATATTCTGATCTCAACTGTGAATTTGTGGCTATTTTCATAGCATAACATATTTATAGAATGCACTCAACAAACTGCCACAACGCACAGTGGTTTGGGTGCATTTTACAGGGGTCCTTAGCAATTTAATGTGTGGTCAGAAAGTAAAGTAAAAGCTTTTTTTATTAATTTGTTAAAATGAGTGTCACAAACTTTGTATGAACATAAAAAATGTGTAGTCTAATTGTTTTTTTTTTGTTTTTTTGTTTTTTTTTTTACAGTTTATTGTTGTTATTGTTTTCCTAAACATTTATTAAATTAAATGATAAAACTGCATTTTTATCATTTAATTATAATTGTACCTGATTAGTAACTAAAAAATGATGTTGGTGTTTTGTAGCTAAGAGCAAACCATATCAAACTACTACCTGCAGTTTTGCCAGCTATGAAAATTAGTAGAAGCAGTTAAACAACTGTGATACATCCTGTATAGTATTGCATATTATTTTCTTGCGAACCCTTGCCTGATAGTGTATTTTAATATTCACATTTGGTCTTTGATTACAGGAACAAACAATGGATCAAAACTTATTTGGAGGAGTCCCCAGGTTTCTCACCCGCCCAAAGGCATTCTCGGTGTGTGTAGGCAAGGATGCGACACTGAGCTGCACCATCGTCGGCAGCCCGACCCCACGGATCACCTGGGAAAAGGACAAGCTGAATCTGACATCTGGTGGGCGCTTCAAGACAGTGGAGGATGGGAATGTGTACCGCCTAACCATTTATGACTTAACCCTGGAAGACAGTGGCCAGTACATGTGCCGGGCCAAAAACAGCGTTGGGGAAGCTTATGCTGCTGTAACCCTGAAAGTGGCCCTGCCAACAGAAATGGCTCAGAGGGCGCCTCTTTTCATGGTTAAGCCTACCTCTGCACGTGTAGGTTTGGGAGGCGATGTTGTTTTCCATTGCCGGGTTGCAGCTTACCCTGAAACCAACTTTGATTGGGAGAAAGACGGGCGCTACTTGGGGGAGACTAACCGTATCAAGATTGTTTCCAACAGTGACAGCAGCACCTTAAAGATCCAAAGTGTACGTAACCTAGACAGCGGCACCTACACCTGCAGGGCCCAGAACGCTGTTGGCCGTGCACACGCTGCAGCAGCTCTCGTTGTGGATGCCCAGGATTCCCACCACCTGGTTGCAGACAAGCACACCTCCCTCCTCTCTCACCTACAGAAGCGCAAAGAGGAAATGAAGAAGGATATCGCTATCTATCGCACTGAAGAAAGCAACTCCTCTGTTTCTTCCTCCTCCACAGTCAACATCAGAGATGGTTTGAGTTCTCTGAGTCTGGAACATGAGCTGAGGGCATCTGTGCTGGCAAAGCTGCCCAAAGGTGTGTTCACCCGCACCTGCACAGTGACTGAAGGCAAACATGCCAAACTCAGCTGCTTTGTGACGGGTCACCCTAAACCCCACATTATCTGGAGGAAGGATGGAACAAACATCAGCGAGGGCCGCAGGCATGTCATTTATGAGGACCAAGCTGAGAACTTCATCCTCAAGATCCTGTACTGCAAGCAGAGTGATAATGGTCTCTACACCTGTAATGCCACCAATATGGCTGGGCAGACCTACAGCGCTGTGTTGGTAACAGTCAAAGGTAAGAAAAAGCTACATTCATCACAGTGATGCATTTTCTGTTCACATTTAAGAGAATCCTCTACAATAAGCTATTATTAGAGGCAAGTTCTGGATTATATCACGTGTCAGCACGTATAACATCATAAAGAATGTCACTCTAGACCATCATTTATAGCATTTTCCCCATAATATTAAAAAATTCCATGTCTGTGGCACCCAGCCCTAAGATCCCAAGCCAGTTGGTTTCCATTGAAGACATAAATCTTTGTTTAATTAGATGATAAACTCCTTGAAATGCACCATATCATTTTCAAGGGCGTCCTCAGGCACAAAACATAAAAAAAAGAATGAAACAATCAAACGACAAAAAAATCAACATAGTTATTACTAACATCAACAAGGACATATGTAAGGGGCTCTTCTACCATCCCAAACCACACTTACTACAAAAAATGGCTTATAAATATACTGTAGTAATTTAAAAGCTGGGCACTGTAATTTTAAGCAAACATTACTCAAAAAGGAATTTATTGGTGGGGACTATTTTCAGCTGCAAATTAATACACATTTGGTTTGGTAGTAAGTATTTATGACAGCAGGATTGTATGTGTAATTTACTCAACATAAAATACAGTGCCTATGTTAATTTGCATTGAATGAACAGGTCACCCAGTGCAGAAGAGTGGCTTAAATGTGTTTTTAATAGCGATAAAAGTTCAGGTTTATGGCAAAGAGGAATAAGCTGTATGTTCGTTGGATAAACACATTTTTGGCAGCTGCACCAATGTAAGTGTTGTCCAAATCACTATACCAAAGCCTCATTTGAGCCTCTCAAAATGTGAGTGGCTTTTCACAACAAGGTTGAATTCTGGCTCATCCTCTTGAGGAGGGTGTTGTGTTGCATCTATTTTCTGCCAGTGATGAGTAGTTCACAGTTGCTAAGATGGTCACTCACTTACAGGAGCACATTGGCACCACTACTAATGTGACTTCCCTGAGGAATAAAATGTCCCAAGGGACAAAATTACAGGGTTATAGATTTATGTTTGTTGTCTGATGAGGGCTGCACCACTGATGTACCTGTCTGTTGTTGTTGCAAGAAAATGGATAGTTCTGTTGTTTGCCTTGCAGTTTGCTAGTTTGCTGGATTTAAAGGGAACATTTGCAATATTCAAAATAAATAAAAAAATATTGGTAATGAAAACAACAAATACAGTTCACAACTACTGACACTGAATTGTCTGGACAAAAAAAGTTGGCCAAATATCACGAAAATAGACAACACACTTTGTGTAACATTAAATTTAACAACATTATGTTGGATTATCATACATCACATAGAAATGAAGAAGGGTCCTGGCTGAAATACAAGTCGGTCACATTCCTGGGAAGATAAGCTACCAAGCACTTATATATTGTAATACTAAGGAACAAAGTAAATAACTGTTAAGGGTTGTTAAAGTTTAGTATGTAGGCCTACTCTATGTTGTCAACAGCTCTGACTAAATTACAAGTTGAGATTCAGTTTTCAGCCAAACTGTATCTCACCAACTTGTACTCTCTGAAGTGTATGTCCAGTGTATTTATGCAACCTCATATTTCTCCAAGTAAAAATAGTCAATTGCCAAGCTGAAAACAGCTCACTTGTCGTTTGGAAGGTACATAACAGGAAACATTGTAAATATTACATTTATTTTAGATACCTTTGAGTGATTTACTGAACCCAGTGGACTTCACCCATAACTCAGAGTGGAGTTCCACATGTTTCAACACTTGATTCCTAAAGTTAAAACAGTTGGCTGAGATCCCAAGTTGGTTATGGATATAGTTTGAAACTCTAACCCTCATTTGTGGTTCAAAGCACAGTAGGAAAACCGAGAAGTAGGGGATCCAACAAGTACAAGGTGTTCTCTGCAACATCCATTGAAATAGTGGATCTAGTAAGCACATTGAAACCTTAGTTCACATTAAAGTCATGTAAATTTAAACAGTAAAATCTTTTGCAGGGATTGTATATTACAGTATTTGTATATTTTTGCTCATTATCTTTAGAAGTCTTTAGTTACTAGAATTTCATAGAGCATGCTGAAAGTTTTTTTTAATGATTTCTTACCTTCCAGGTAATGATTATTTAATTATAATATAATAATAAACTTTTGTTTTTTTATAGAGCATTTATCAAAACAAAGTATAAAGCGCATCACAGAGACACAGAGAAAGATGATACTATCAACCGAGGTTTTATAGTTGATTACCAAAATAGCTTTTATTTAATTAAATTAAAAAAAAAAATAAAATCTAAACATGAAAATACGTAATGAAAAGAATAATGTCAGTGCTAAGTTTCCTTAAATACACAACATCATAAAGATTTAATGTCCAAAGGAATGGATTATCTCTCAAGCAAGTTTGATTTTAACATTGCACTAGGCTGAACTACACCTAAGTCATGGGGGAATTAATATAGAAAGTTTGGAAAATGGTTGACAGTATCAGTTTGTAGTGGATATAATGACATATGCAAAAACCATAAGGTTGTGTAACCTGAAGATTCTGTTATTTCTCATTGTGTCAGAACCTAAGGTGCCATTCAAGAGGAAGCTTCAGGACGTGGAGGTGCAAGAGAAAATGTCAGCCATGCTGATGTGCGAGGTGCCTCTTAGTGCCACACAGGCCAACTGGTTCATGGAGGAAACACGGCTGGAGCAAAATACCAAATATCGCATGGAGCAGGAAGGCACACTACGTTGTCTCACCATACACAATGTCACCACTAATGACGATGGTGTTTATATCTGCGAGATGAAAGAGGGCAGTCGCACTGTGGCTGAGCTCACTGTCCTGGGTATGGTTGAGTTATTATTTCTTGTTAAATATTATGTGCCATCATTACAGTGCTATTATCAAGAGTAATTGTGAACTGAATGCTTTTTTTAACGTAAAGTCTACTTCCTCTCAAATCCCAGGCAACATTACAAAGAAGCTTCCTCGGAGGACAATAGTTCCTGTCAGTGACACTGTCATCTTTTGCGTGGAGCTGGAGCATCCCTGCCCGGACGCCTACTGGACCCGTAAAGGCGAAAAGCTGAAGGAAGATTCCCGTATTTCCATTGCCTGCACGCTCAGACAGTACACACTCACAATTAGAGATTGCCAGGCAGAAGACTCCGGAGAAGTGGCCTTTGTGGCAGGAGACTGCAAGACTTCCACTCGATTCTCTGTCACTGGTGAGGATGACGCCTAATTCACATTTATTGTATGTTCTGACCTGCTTGTATCATTTTCAGAATGGCTTTAATGACAAAAAACAAACTTTACATAGTACTTTTTGGTAATTATCTTAATTGTGTTGCATTATTTTATTATTTTTTGTATTATTTTTATGTTCTCTTGAAGCAAAATATGAAATAGTTAATGGGATGCACAAAATAATTGTAGCAAAATGATATAATGAATTGTATTGTATTATAAATACCCCATGTAAAGCACTTAACTCTGATGTAACTTGTGCAATTACAAACACAACTACAAAGGTTGGTTGCCAAATAGCAACACTTATTAAATGTAATAGAAGAATAAAAATCAGTAATTTCATATACAAGTTGTACAGTGGAGGTGGGATCAGCTTTGTTTTCACCTCCAAATAGATGATGAAACAGTGTCATTAAACATAGATTCTCTTCAGGATGCTTATAGTCGTGTTTTGAAATGGATTGGTCTCTAACCATATTCGAACACAGGCTTTTAAACTTAGACTATATGGCTTTGGAGTGCCTTGGGTTTGTCTCCCTTAAATTGTTTTAAAAAAGGGTTAAGCTGGACTGGTTTAAAACCTGATCTAAACAATTCATACAACATGTAATTAAGCTAGTAAACAAGATATTATTATAACTGACAAGAATCGTCAGCATCTGTAAATGTAGAAACACTCAACAGAATCACTCAATGCTCCACTGATCTTATAAACAATAGTCACTCTTTCTGCTCTAGCTGCAAGGAAGCATCCTCCCGATGCCCCAGTCGATGCTGTGGTGCAGAACAAGACTGAATCATCCATCACCATTCAGTGGTCTCCTCCTGATAGCGACCGCCCTGTGCCCATCAAGGGCTACATTGTGGAGAAGAGAAAGGTTGGTGCTCAGACATGGCAGAGGTGCAGTGCTGGAGAAACCATTGTTTCAACAGAGATCACCATCTGCAACTTCACCGAAGAAGCCAGCTACCAATTCCGTATCTCTGCTATGAATGACTTTGGCCAGAGTCCCTACCTGGAGGTGCCTGGAAGCTTCTACCTAGGTAAGACTGATGTCTCTGTGACATGTGTCAGTCATGGCTATGTGCTGTTGTGTGCATTCAAGTGCTATTTTCTCATGTCTGGTCTCCAGAACCCATTGCTGAAATCAGTAAAGGTCTGATGAACAGCACTGCTATCATTGGTGAGGAGTTCTCTATCTCCGTGGAGCTGTCTGCTGTTTGTTCTGGCTTCTGGTCTCTAAATGGCCGCCTCCTGCGCAGTGGCGCCGACTACCTCATCACCAGGTCCAAGAACACACATACTCTGCTCATCCGTGTCGTGACCATGGAAATGAACGGAACTGAAGTGAAGTTTGTGGGTGGAGGCTCGCAAAGCACTTGCATCCTATCTGTGAAGGGTACGCACGCATAGCCATTTAAAAGAAAATGCTCTATATCATATTAATATATTGTAGTGCATAAGCTTTCTTAGCCTTGTTTTTAATTGAAGGCCATTGTTTTTTTTCTGTAATTTTTTGTTCAAAGCAAATCAATAATGCCTTCTTACTCGACAACTGTATTTTTAGTTCCTCCTGTTAGGTTCACTAACAAGTCAGATCTGCTGGAGGTGATCACCTGCAGTGCCCAAGCCACTGCTCAGCTGACTGCTGAGGTGTCGGATTATGATGCACAGGTTTGTGATGGGATCATACATCATTTCCAGCTTTACTTTTATTTTAAATTTCATGTTACTGTTACCCAGAATAGTCTTCAAAGGAGACACTTTTGTATTTGAGTACTCTAACTTGGTAACACTGAAGTAACAGTAGTTCTACTTGACTGGATCAGTCAGCAAGTACTCTTTTAACCCTTGCTTTTATTTCACCATGCCTATTTTGGTAAAACTGTTCTGTGTTTGTTTCTTTAGGTGGTTTGGATGAGGAATGGGCGGGAGGTGAAAATGGGAAAAAAGTATGAATATGTGATCGTGGACCGCAAGAGGATCCTGATGGTACACAATGTTACAGAGGAAGACGTGGGCATCTACGAGTGTGTTTTAGCTGACGACAGAATGCCCCTGAAGCTCACCCTTAAAGGTACGCTCATCAAAATCATTGCTATGTACAGTTTTACAGTTTGACCTAAACACAGAGCAAAGTCAACAGTCTGTCTAGAATGGAGTGTTTTCTTCTCGGTGCAACGCTGATTTCGAAATAGGAACTGGCCTCAGTGTGTGCAACAAGCCAACGTAATGTAGGCAGTTTGTCTCAAACCATGTGGCATACTGAAATGTGATCTGCTCTGATGCCTGCTAGCATTTGCTTATTAGCTGTCAAGTCAAGTGTTACTGTGCTACCCCAACTCATGCTCTTCCTACACATGAGCACTGATGTGCTGTCACATGAAAAGATATAATCAAATATTTACAAAAATGTGAGGGGTGAACTTACTTTTGTGAGATAGTGTACATTTCATATATCAGAAGGATTTTAATTAATGTCTTAAATATTTTACGTGTACTACTCAATAATACTACATCACTGATATTTATTTGTATGAAAACACAAAAACATTTATTACAATTGAAATGTCATTAATTAAAAACATGCTCAATTTATATCTCTTTTTCTGTAAGATGAACCTGCCAAGTTTCTGAACAAAGCCAGAGGTCCCATGGGTTTGTCATCGTTACTTAAAGGAGATCTTGAGCTGAGCTGTGAGGTATCTCCTGCCAGTGCGGCCGTTGTGTGGAGAAAAGATCAAGTGGAGCTCACTGAGGACCAAAGAGTTACCTTCATCTCCAAAGGGACTCAAAGGAAACTCATCATCAAGCATGCCAAGAAAAGTGATGAAGGACATTACTCCTGTGAGACAGCAGCAGACAAAGTCACATTCCAGGTCAAGATAAAAGGTAAGACTATCATGCCTTTGTAGTACCATTCAACACTTGACTGCACATCACAGATATACTGTACTTTTCCTCACCTTATGTTTTTCTCAGAAACTCTAGCCGTAGCTGCCTTCTCCAACAAGGAGTCGGTCCAGAAAGAGGTAAAAGCGACTCTCTCCCAGAAAGCCACTCTTAGTTGCAATGTCTCGGATAGTAAGACAGAGGTGAAATGGTACAAGGATGGCAAGTTGTTGGTATCCAGTAGGACGATTTACTCAGAAGTAAAAGGCAGTACTCGTCAGCTGGTGATAGAAAAGGTGGAGAAGAGTGATGCTGGAGAGTATACATGCGAAGCTGGAGGGGATAAGCTGGTCTTCAACATATTTGTGTCAGGTAGGGCTGCTTGATTTGTTAATTCATATATAGAATTTAACAAATATTTTCAGTTTTATACAGTTAATATAAATGATGGGGTTTGCCTGGGAGACTAAATCATTCATTTTTAATATAGCTGCCCTGAAGAGTGTTTCAATTAGATGTCTCTAGTATGTAACACTGTATTTGTCATTGATGTTATCCTCAGAGGCCCAGTCAGCTTTCTTTAACAAGGAGTCTGTCCAGAAGGACGTGAAAGCTACTCTCTCCCAGAAAGCCACTCTGAGCTGTGAGGTAGCTGATACCAAGACAGAGGTGAAATGGTACAAGGATGGCAAGATGCTAACTTCCAGCAAGACCATCCATACTGAGTCAAAGGGCAAGAGTCGCCAGCTGGTGATCGACAGCGTGGAGAAAAAGGATGCTGGAGAGTACCTCTGTGAGGCTGGGACTGAGAAGCTGGCCTTCAAACTCCTGGTAACAGGTAGGGATAAGGACTGAACAGGCTTACAGTATTTCTGTTGACTGATGCAGTTGTTAACAAATAACATACAATGGACAGAGAGAAAAGTTTCTGTCATCCACATTCATGGTCTCTTTCACAGACACACAACTCCAGTCTGCATTCTCTAACAAGGAGTCTGTCCAGAAGGACGTGAAAGCCACTCTCTCCCAGAAAGCCACTCTGAGCTGTGAGGTAGCTGATACCAAGACAGAGGTGAAATGGTACAAGGATGGCAAACTGCTGACTTCCAGCAAGACCATCCACACTGAGTCAAAGGGCAAGAGTCGCCAGCTGGTGATCGACAGCGTAGAGAAAAAGGATGCTGGAGAGTACCTCTGTGAGGCTGGGACTGAGAAGCTGGCCTTCAAACTCCTGGTAACAGGTAGGGATAAGGACTGAACAGGCTTACAGTATTTCTGTTGACTGATGCAGTTGTTAACAAATAACATACAATGGACAGAGAGAAAAGTTTCTGTCATCCACATTCATGGTCTCTTTCACAGACACACAACTCCAGTCTGCATTCTCTAACAAGGAGTCTGTCCAGAGGGACGTGAAAGCTACTCTCTCCCAGAAAGCCACTCTGAGCTGTGAGGTAGCTGATACCAAGACAGAGGTGAAATGGTACAAGGATGGCAAATTGCTGACCTCCAGCAAGACCATCCACACTGAGTCAAAGGGCAAGAGTCGCCAGCTGGTGATAGACAGTGTTGAAAAGAAGGATGCTGGAGAGTACCTCTGTGAGGCTGGGACTGAGAAGCTGCTGTTTAAAGTACACGTGGAAGGTAAGGAGAATGCAGCACATTTCATAAATACCAAATTGAGATGATGAAATCCTACATGTTGTTGTTACTTGTTGGTACCCCATTCAAAAAAATCTAGCATGTAAAACATAAAGACTACTGTAGATGCATTTTAGTTTCATACAAGGGTAACTGCATTGTAATAAACACAAAAGGCTGTAACTAATTCTTATTAGATAATGTTTAGAAACAACTGTTTCTGCTAGCTTGTTTTTATAAAAAAGATAAAGACATTTACTGTGTGAAACTGGTGGCTATATAGTGTTTTCTATTTGTGTCTGTGGTCTCCTCTGATTTGTGATTGTAAATGTCAAATTGAGTTTGGCTGCATTGTTGGTTGCTTCAGTTATGAGATAGTTGGCATGCTATGCTCAGTCATGTATAGTCCAGCACTGACTTGGAGTCTCAGTGGAAATTATGCAAATATTTTGGGTTTTGCTGCCTCTACCCACTGCTGAGCGTCATGCTTTGATTTCTTGTAGCATTTGTTTGCTGAGGCAGCTCTGGTGTCTTGTGGCTCTGTTGTTTGTCAGTTCCTGGTCACTGATCTGGCCTTTTTTATTTCTAAATGAGTTGTTTTTTATCTACTAATTGTGCCTGTCTGTGGCAACTTGCAGTTACACAATTTGCTTTTGCTTTATGACTGCAAAGTGCAATGTCTCCCTCAATTTCACATGCTGTTACAGAGCTTATTACTTTGTGCACTGCACCTGCAAGGTCTGTTTGCTTTTGTGCAGTGAAGTCAAAGCTTTGTCTGTGGTGTGGTGTCAAGTCCTTTTTGTATAGGTAATAGTACTGCCACCACATTCCTTTACAGTTACTTCTACAGAAATCCAGGCTAAATCCGCTTTCCTCAACAAAGAGTCTGTTCAGAGGGAAGTGAAAGCTACTCTCTCCCAGAAAGCCACCCTGAGCTGTGAGGTAGTTGATAACAAGACAGACGTGAAATGGTACAAGGATGGCAAGCTGCTGACTTCCAGCAAGACCATACATGCAGAGTCAAAGGGCAAGATTCGTCAACTGGTGATCGACAGCGTAGAGAAGAAAGACATTGGAGAGTACATCTGTGAAGTTGGAACTGAAAAATTGTCATTTAAAGTGCAGGCAACAGGTATGAGGAATCCATTGGAGTAGTGTATGTGATTTGTGTGTTTTTAGTTTAAAACTGAATCTCTGCTTGGCTCACAATTTTGGGTGAAGTAGACCAAAAACAGCTCCAGTGGACGATTTCAACTTTAAGTTTTGCTTAACCGCTGTTCTGGGTTGAATGTTGTAGAATGTTGGAATCACAAATATTTGCATTGTTCTTGATTTTAGTATTATTTACAGTATGTAACTAAATACAGTTTGCTGCTCTTGGCGGCACATCAGTCCATTTTATTTGATGTTACAAGCAATTTTCCTGCTTATATTTTGGATTGTATCATACTGAAACAGTAGTTCACAAAAGCGCGGGGGCAATGCCATGACATTCTCTATTAATACTTTTGCAGAGATCCAACTGAAGTCAGCCTTCTCTAACAAGGAGTCAGTCCGGAAGGAGTTGAAAGCCACTCTCTCCCAGAAAGCCACTCTAAGCTGTGAGGTAGCTGATACCAAGACAGAGGTGAAATGGTACAAGGATGGCAAGATGCTGACTTCCAGCAAGACCATCCATGCAGAGTCAAAGGGCAAGAGTCGCCAGCTGGTGATTGACAGTGTGGAGAAGAAGGATGCTGGAGAGTACATCTGTGAGGCTGGGACTGAGAAGCTGGCTTTTAAGATACAGGTGGCAGGTACGAGTAATACAATGTCGCTAGTATTTTCGGAAGTCTATAAAAGTGAATTGAATTTGTCTTATTTGATTTGTAGCAGTGTTTGTTGATTTTTTTCCACATTCTTCCCCTGGTTTGCATTCAATCATCTGTCTTTTCATGCTTTCCGGGGTAGACTGATATGATGCGTTTGTTTACATCACATTTTTCATTTTGCTCCGCAGAAGCCCCACCTGGCTTCTCTAATAAGGAGTCTGTCCAGAAGGAGGTGAAAGCTACTCTCTCGCAGAAAGCCACCCTGAGCTGTGAGGTGTCTGATTCCAGGAGCGAGGTGAAGTGGTACAAGGATGGCAAGCTGTTGACTTCCAGCAAAGCAGTCCACACAGAGACAAAGGGCAAGCTTCGTGAGCTGGTGATAGAAAAAATGGAGAAAAAAGATGCTGGAGAGTACACATGTGAGGCTGGAACGGAGAAGCTGGTGTTTAAGCTGCAGAGTACAGGTGAAATATATTTCAAATAAAATTAATTTTGTCAAATGATTGATAATTCTCTGCACAACGCTCTGAAAAGACACTCTTACTTCTCTTTAGATGCAGCTGTCAAGTTCCAGAAGAAGCTTGTCAAGGACACATGTATTGTTCAAGCAAGTGAAAACATTGTTTTGACCACTGAGCTGACCGCAGAGAGTGGTAGTGTGAAGTGGTTTAGAGATGGTGTGGAGCTCAAGGAGGGCAGCAAGTATGAAATGAAAAAAGATGGCCTTTCTCGTACCCTGATAGTAAAATCCACCGAATCCAAAGACAGTGGATCATACTCCTGTCAAACTGCTGACGACAAGCTGGAGTTCAAAGTTCAAGTTAAAGGCAAGGCATAGAATTTATAACAATTTGAAAATTGCTGTACAGACCTCTTCAGATGCAAGATTTTGTTTTGATGTCTACCTCCCATGTTTTCATTTCAGATTCAGCCTTAAAGTTTGTTGTCCCTTTGAAACCTGCTACCGTGGAGTTGGGAGGTACACTAAGCCTGGTGTGTGAACTAAATCAAGCCTCAGGAGATGTTGTCTGGCAGCATGATGGTCATGAGATTAAACCTGGAGGCAGGTACTGTGTCAGGACAGATGGTGCAAAGCGGGTTCTCACTGTGACTGGCATGACTAAAGAAGATGAAGGAGAATACAGCTGTGGCTGTAGAAATGACAAGACCTCTGTTAAAGTGTCCTCAAAAGGTAATGAATAATTTTGTGAATCAAAAAAATAGTTTACGGGTAGAAACTTTTTCAGTCTGCTTTGATGTGACTCATTCCTTTCAGCACCCAGACTAGTGAGGCTGACCACCAAACTGAACAATGTGGCTGCAATGGAGGGAAAGGATGCCATTTTCAAGTGTGCTGTCAACCCAGCGGACGTCAGCATTAAATGGTTCCACAACAGTATACCCATCACTGCTGGGCCCAAGTATAAGATTGAGCATGGTGGCAGCAGTCACTCACTCACCATCACCTCTGTTAACCAAAAAGATGCTGGAGAGATTAGCGTTGACGCAGAAGGCAAAAGCTGCAACGCTACCCTACAAGTGCAACGTAAGAACATGCATTACTATCTCTATTCCCTTAAAATATTAGTTTTAAGTATGTTTTAATTTTCTTATTAACCTTGAGATTTCTTTGCTCCCCAATTAGATGAGCCTGTGACATTTAAGAAAAAGCTAGAAAACCTGACCGTGGAGGAGCAGAGTGAAGTGAAGCTGGAGGTGGAGCTCAGTAAGGCATCAGCCGAAGTGAGGTGGATGAAGAACAGTGTAGTGCTGCAGCCGGCAGGAAACATGGAGATTCGAGTAGACGGAGCTAAGCAGGCTCTGGTTTTCAAGAGTGTGACTTACGCTGACCGGGGCATCTACTCCTGTGAAACTCTGGATGACAAAACCCACGCCAAACTCAGTGTGGAGAGTAAGACTGATCCACAACTACATTTTTTTAACATGCCTTACACAGTATTTAATAACCTATCGTAACACTAAAAACAGAATGTCATTCTTCAGTAATGTTTGTTTGTTTGTATATACATTTTGAGTTACAAGCTAGGAAACTGTGATTGCATATTAACACTGAAATATTTCCTTCTCCTCCCTTCAGTGAAAAAGATCCAGGTAATAAAGGGCCTAACAGAAACCCAGGCGCATGAGACAGAGACAGTGACTCTTGAAGTAGAACTCAGCCAGGCTGATGTTGAAGGCTCCTGGACCAGGGATGGGGCCAAGTTAAAGTCAGGGGCGAACTGCCGTATCACAGCCCTTGGAAAAAAGCATGCCTTAACGTTGTCCAATCTCAAGAGGGAAGATGCAGGAACTATTGCTTTCCAAGCAGAAGGAGTACATTCTTCTGGCAAACTGATTGTCACAGGTAAGGACTGGTTCCGGCGTTACTAGGGTCTTGGCCAACCAAGCCCATTCTGCCACAAGAGTCACAGTCCAGTCACATTTTGACCAACGTGTGTTGATTCTACAGAACCTCCTGCTATGATCTCCAAGCCCATTATGGATGTCAGTGTGCCTGAGAAGGAGAAGGTTACCTTTGAATGTGAAGTGTCTCGAACAAATGCAGACGTTAAGTGGTTCAAGGTGAGAAATTATTGTTGCAGTTACTGTCTGCAGAGTGAAATAATACAATTAAAAATGTGTGAAGTACATTATGTAACATTTAAAATATATATATAAATCTGCAGAATGATGTGGAACTGAAACCAGGGAAAAACTTTGGCATTCATTCCTTGGGCCGAAAGCGCACTTTGGTCATCAACAAGTGCACCCCTGAAGATGCTGGCACTTACATCTGTCGCACTGCTGACGATAACACCTCTGCCAAGCTCACTGTTAATGGTAATTATGAGTAATGTCATGAAACACACAAATCGGTCAGGTACTATGTAGGGTACAGTTTAAACATTTCCAACATATAGAAACATCATCAAGATTTTTTTCCCCGCAGCCAGAGATGTTAAGATTGTTAAGAAGCTGGAGGATGTGGAGGTGATGGAGAAGGAGAGTGCTGCGTTCGTTTGTGAAATCTCACACGATGACGTGGACTACCAGTGGTACAAAGGAAGTATCAAACTCAAAGTCGGGGACAACATCAAGATGAGACAAGAGGGTAATGCCTCAGGGAAATTAGTAAATCAGTGTGATTGAACTACCTGTTTATTCATGCAAGATTTACCTAATATTTTATTACTACAAGCTGTCTATTTCTTATTCCAGGCAGAACCTATGTACTACTGTTTAAATCTGTTACCCCAGAAGATATGGGTGAGATTCAATTCACAGCTGAGAAGGCCTCTTCAACTGCAAAACTTAAAGTGAAAGGTAAACAAATATGTGGCATATATACTGTTATGTGAAATCACATAACCGTGGATGTACTGTATATTGTTGCATGGATTAGCTAACCATTATGTTACAATGTTCAGATGTAGTTGCAAATGGATTGTTTCTGTTCATTATGACAAAAGTTGTTGCAAGTAATTGTTAAAAAAGACCTCTGCACATTTTAAACCTCATGTGTGTTTGCATTAAAACAAAAAATCTGGGTAATTTTATAAGCAGATCTCAACATTTCAACTGGTTTAGTGAGCCAAATGTAAAAGTTCACACTAAAGTTAGATGAAATGTTGTTTTGCTAAAAGAGTAAACAAAGTGCATCATTCTGACAATATTGGTGAGATAGAAAATCCAGTTGCAACTTGCATGTACATTGTTATGCCTCATTGAGGCCTGATGGCATAGGAAACACAACTAGCTGAGGTTCAGGATTTCTATCAAGGGGTTTTGTCATAACTTTCTTTCTTGACTGATCCACTAATTCTGGACATTTTGGGGTCATTTGATGATTGGAAATCTCCAGGGGTATGAGAAAAATTCTGTTACAGATTAGATAGCATATGTTGCTGTCAGCTGACCATAAACTGCTCTAAATTGCATCAACATGCACATGTTTTCTTGTTTCTATATGTTTGCAATCAAACAGCAACTTATATATAAACAAAAATGACTGGCACACAGTAATTCTTATTTAATGTAGTGCCTTTACAAGATTCTTGGTATCTGCTTTAGCTTTTGCAAAAAAATTAAATATTGGAATTGACCTCAAAAGCACATGTTCCTTTACATATTAGCTACATTTGCTTTGGCCATAACATACTTTAATAATGAACATTACCTGTCCTATAGTGAGCTTAGGCAAGGGATTTGGTAAGGCCTTGGCAATAAGTGCCTTTAATCTTCCTTTTTACACATACATGATAGTTTTGATTGATTCAGTGATATTGTTGCTATAGAGCTGCCTGTCAAGTTTGTGAAGAGACTCAGGGATAAGATAGCGATGTTTAAGCATCGTGGTCATCTTGAATGCCAAGTGTCACGTGCCAACGCAAAGGTGAAGTGGTACAAGAACAAGATGGAGATCCAACCCAGCAAGAAGTACGAGATCAAAAGTGAAGACGTGTACCGAAAACTCACCATCAACGATGTGGAGTCCGGAGATGAAGACACGTATACATGTGATGCCATTGATGACAAGACTTCCTGTAAACTACTTGTGGAAGGTAACATGATGGAAAGATGACAAAGATTGATTGTAAGCTTAGTGTCAGGTTTATCAAATGTAGAGCAGTTATGTATAGGACTGTATAAATATTCAAAATATTTACACAAAACAAGCCATCAGACTCCTTGTCAATGAGGTATCTATCTATCTATCTATCTATCTATCTATCTATCTATCTGTCTATCTGTCTATCCATTTTAGAGCAAGCCTGACCTACTAAATAAATTAACATACTAATTAATATTTAAAAAGGATTTATGCAAGTAAGAAATTAACAAAACTGTATTGCCACAGCAGGTGAAGTAACCCACGCAGGTGCTCAGGTTGACGTTTGGTGGCAAATACGTGAGGTCATAGTAAAGTCCATGGAAAACAAATAGGCCTTTTTCAAAGAAAATATTTGGACATGTCACAGTAGAAAAACAAAAGATGTAAAATAAATTTCATGATGGCTAAATTCCATTTAGCTGTCTTGGTTTCAGTGTATAGAGGCTTTAAGAAAGGACAAAAAAAGAATCCTTGCAGAATATTAACATTGGCCATTATTTGTACTGCATGAACAGTAATTGCTTGTCTATTATTTATATGATGACTTTTTACTTCAAAATGACTTTTTAAGTCAAATGTATCATTTTGAACACATCTTCAATATTAGAAATAGTGAATTATCACATTGGTTGCAGATAATATGAAAGATTGTTTGATTTAGCTGAAGCTCCTAAAAGAATACCCAATATGTAAAACACAGTTCATATTTAAGTTTTAAAACACAGACAGTGAGGATCATACAGAAGAATGGGAACATTTTAGTTCTCATTAACCACACAGTCCGTATAATAGAGCTAGAATGATAAATTGGTGTTAATGTCATCTAATAAGTAACAAAAAATTGCAGTACAGAAATGCCAAACTAGGTTTGAAGTAATTTAGAAAGTGACTCCATTATATAATTTGTCCAACATGAGTGCTAACAATTTATGTTTAAATGTCCCGTATGGTATGTACGTTGGTCACAACTGAAAAAAATAAGTCTGACGGATCCATAAGATTGTATTGTTTAAATTATGTTACTACTGAACATTTTACAAAGGATTCTATGACCTTTAACAAATTGTTTCCTGTCCTCACTCATGTATTACTTATTTCAAACAAGGTTTAAGTTCCTGCAAGATGATTGTTACTACACAAGCACAATATTGGTTCTAAATAACTAAAATTATCTATTGGATGCCTTTTCTTGATTTCTGACAACTAGTGTAGCCTTGGGCAAAAATAAATGGGATTTGCAATTCGATGTGGGTTTTTAAAAAGACTAAACCATTTGTATGGTCCTCTACTATAAATTAATTACTTTTATTTTAAGGAATGATATAATTGACTTCTAACTAAATCATTCTCTTTTCATGATCCCTCCAGAGCAGTCCATTAGCATTGTGCGGGAGCTTAGTTCAGTAGAAGTGACAGAACCATTTGCAGCTGTTTTTGAAGTTGAAATCAGTGTGGAACTGGTGAAACCTCCAACATGGACTCTGAATGGAGTTGCTGTCCAGGAGAGCGCTGATGTTGAAATGGAGAAAGAGGGCACTATGCACCGTCTCACTTTCAAAAAGACCAAAGCATCCATGACAGGACCTGTGCAGTTTAGTGCTGGGAAGAGCAAATCTTTAGCCCAGCTCACAGTTAAAGGTAAATGGGTTGAATCATGATTATACAACAGTTGGCCACAGTTACTTAGGTACTGTGACTCTGTTGTTGATACATTTATTCAGAATCATTCAGCTGAGTCTAATTATATACTGTTTCTCACATTTAGAGCGTCCGCTTGAGATTGCAGAGCCCATCAAAGATGTGAAGGGGAAGGAGAAAAGCTCAGCCATTCTCTCCTGCAAATTCTCATCTTCTCCTAAAGAGGTTAAATGGTTCAAAGGTCAGGTACCTCTGGCAGCATCTGACAAGTATAACATGAAGCAAGATGCTACAAGGGCTCAACTTACCATTCAAAGGCTGACTGAGGAAGACAGTGGAGAGTACCGCTGTCAGTCTGGACCTGCTGAGACCAAAGGCTCACTTACTGTTGAAGGTCTAAACCTTTGAATACCACACAAAATTGAGTGCATTTTCTTATTTAAACCACCCCATAAAGCAGCTGTTTTATAATGGTTTAGGATTAAAGTGGTCTTCAAACTAAAACTGTCTTGTTTCTTCTGTACAGTGCGTGAAATCAAGATCACCAAGCACTTGGCTGACACAGAGGTTGATGAAGACAGCGATGCAGTGTTCACATGTGAGATTAACTATGTGGATGAAGAGGTACAGTGGCTTCTGAATGACAAGGTGCTCTTCACCAATGAAGTCAACACCATCGCTCATGAAGGGAAGGTTCACAAGCTCACACTGAAGAACTTGGCACCTCAGGATGGGGGGACTATCACCTTTCAAGTCCGTAAGGTGAAGGAGTCTGTGAAACTTAAGGTCAAAGGTAAGAATGGTCGTGCACTGCATTTATAAGGACACAAAATAAAAATGCAGGAAATCAGTTGTTTCAGCTACATGCTCTGAAGGATTTCTTACTCCAGTCCACCCAAAAGAGAACAAATGAGAACATAATATATACCTTCTGTCATTCTTTACTTTCTCAATTCCCCTCCAGAGAAGCGCGCTGTGTTCCTCAAGTCTCTAGATGACGTCATTGGCGAGGAGAAAGGCATGATAACTCTGGCGTGTGAGGCGTCCAAGCCCAGGGTTTCTCCCACATGGAGAAAAGAAGGTAAAGTCTTGAAGGCTGGACCAAAGTATGAGCTCCTTCACACAGGCAAGGCTTTGGGACTGATCATCAAAGACGTTACCAAAGAAGATGCTGGAGAGTATACTTGCGATCTTGGAACTGAGGTTTCTAAAGCCAAGGTCACTGTGAGAGGTTGGTACAGTCGTTTGGGAAATGCAGTTTTACAGTGTTAGCCATCATACAAACGGTATTGTTCGGCATCATCACCAACTTGTGCTTTCTGTCCCAAATCTAGAGATTGGCATTGGAATTACCAAATGGCTGAAGTCAGCTGAGGTGAATGAGGGAGAGACGTGTAGCTTTGAGTGCATCTTATCTCGTGAGAGCACAGAAGAGTGTTCCTGGACTCTTAATGGCCAAACCATTACAAATGGAGGTCGCTTTAAAGTCACCAGTAAAGGACGCAAGTATATGCTGAACATAAAGGATGTGACTCCTGCTGATGCTGGAGAGGTGATCTTCAATATTAAAGACCTGAGCTCCAAAACAACCTTAACAGTTGAAGGTAAGCTACATACTATTTTTAAAGAGGCCTAGACAAAATAGCTAAAGTTAAAAGTATTAAAATAAACATGTTGTGATCCCTCCCCCCCAGGCAAAGCGTCATCCGTGTCAAAAGGACTACAGAGTGTCAGTGTTGTTCTAGGTGAAGATGCTGTGTTTACCTGTGAGGTAACTCGGGCTAGTTCCACTGTAAAGTGGGCCAAGGAAGGCAAAGCCATCAAAAAGAGCCAGAAGTATGACATTAGCCAAGATGATAAGGTCATGAAGCTGACCATCCATACTGTGTCTGCTCAAGACTCTGGAGAGTACAGTTGTGAAGTTGTTGGAGGTGCAACTACCAAAGCCAAGCTGGAAATCAGTGGTAAGACTGAGGATTCCATATTAACATACTTCGATCTTGCTACACTTTTCATCTTTTGACGGCGTTAGAGCATTTCAGATACTTATTTAGAGATTGTGGTAAAAAGCTAAGAACCAGTGCTGGGATTATCTTATTTTCTGATATAGTGTGCCTAAAATTGTAACAAGGGTTATTTTCTTTTTACAGAGCCGATCCATAAATTCACTAAAGCGCTGAAGGACAGCCAAGCAGAGGAGAAAGGCTCCGTGACCTTGCAATGTGAGACTGCACAAACCCCATCCACTGTGATATGGCTCAAAGGTCACACAGAGCTCGAGGCTGGAGGTCGATATGTGATGTCCCAGAAGGAGGGGGTCTTAACTCTCACCATCAAACATCTGGAGGAAAAAGACACCGATATCTACACTTGTGACGTGGGCACTGCCAAAAGCATGGCAAAGGTGACAGTAAACGGTAAGTACTTAAGTGTGTATGTATGCAAGTTTGAGGTAAGTTTTTGTCATGCAGAGCTGATTATTTTTATAAATTCAGTTTGAAGAGTTATTTGAAAAATTAAATGTCCTGTATGCCTTACTTTTGAAAGACACAAAAAAATAATAAATATTGATATTGATAAATAATTATTACTTAGATGCTGCTAGCTATTTTTAAGAACATTTGTTAACATTAGCAGAACAGACCCTCAATATCTGACATCTGAAATTGAATATTTAGAAGGATTAACCTGTGAGAATTCCACATTTAATGTATTTTGTAAGTTTTTTTGTGATTAGTGAGATGAATGATGTGTTGACTTGACCCATAGTTTGGTTTAGTTTTGCTTTAAAGGCTAGTTAGTGGTGGTAGTTGAAAAAACAATTTATTTTGAAGCAGAATCTGCTACATCGTGTCAGTCCTATTGATCTTCCAGATGTGCAGTGCAAATTGTAAAGAATGTGTTAAGATAGGATATGATATGAACATGAAGCCAATTTGATGATTATTCATGAGTAGTGGGGATGGGGTAGGATTAAATAAGCTTATGCTTCTTCCAATTCCTTTTCGGACAATATATTTTTTGGTTTTGTTTTTTCTTCTATTTTTGATTTTCTTCTATTATCTTTTTCAGAATTGTTGTCAGTATTTTGGATTGTAAGAATCTGTTTTGCTCTTTTGTTTGGCACTACTATATCACATTTTTTCTCATGATTGAGAGGCTGTTTTTACATCCACAAATTGTGATGTCCATCAGCATGTCTTTTAAAGTGACCTGTTCCCAAATGCATTGCCTTGTTTTGAAAGGATTATGAACGGCATAAACGAATGTTTCTTTTGAACGGCATAAACGAATGTTTCTTTTGTTGGTAATCCATAGTGCATTTCAAAAAGGATTTCATTATGTAGTATTGTAATGAGAGACTTTGTTTTTGTTTTTAGATAAAGTGCATAGTTGTAGTTCAACCTTCATCAAAAGGATCAGTCTAACTGTTAGACTAACGTTGGATAACTGGAGCACCTATCATCTTTGCCTCTAATCATTTTCTATCCTCCATCACAACCAAACAACATGCAACACCCTGTTTTACATAATCAAGTCATTCTTCATGTTATTATAGCCCTGCCTGCCAGTTTTAAAGAGAAGCTCAAGAACCAAGAGAAACAGCAAGGGGAGACTGTGACACTTTGCTGCAAGTTATCAAAACCTGCGACTGATGTTCAGTGGAAGAAGGGCTCTGAAATTGTCAAAGCTGGAGAGAAGTATGAGGTGAAGCAGGAGGACACCTCTTGTGAGCTTCAAATTAAGAATTTGAAGGTTGAAGATAGTGGAGACTATTCTTGCATGTGTGGAGACCAGAAGACATCTGCAACTGTGAAAGTCACCGGTATGGATTCATGAAGTCTTTTCGGCAATGCTTTGGAATGTTTTGTGTGTTTATCCACTCCATGGGCATTTTTAATCATGCTGATTTAGGTTCAACTGTTTATTTTTCTAGTTGTAAGGCTTTATTTAATTAGTTGTTTGATGGCAGCGCTCATATCTGTGATATTTTGGCTTTATTTTTGTACAGTGGGAGAGCTAGTGTTTTGTTAATACCTTTTAAAAACGATTTATTTCCCCTGATTGACAAGTAATGACAACTTGGTTGTGCAGCATTGCCGCCAACCTTCAAACAGAAGCTGGAGAGTCAGGAGGCTGAGGAGGGAGCCGACATTACTCTGTACTGTGAACTCTCTGAACCTGGAGTTCCAGTGGAGTGGAAGAAGGGAACACAGGTCCTGAAGTCTGGAGAAAAGTACCAGATGAAGCAGAAGGCCACTGTGAATGAACTCCTGATCAACAAAGTGTTGCCAGAAGATAGTGGAGACTACAGCTGTGTGTGTGGAGACCAGAAGACCAAAGCTAGCCTCAAGATCAAGGGTAGGAAGAGGATTTTCAAGAGTCAGTCTATGTAGGGTTTTAAAAAAAATGTTTAGAGTAACTTTTTACATGTGTATATTTAGACATTTTTGTTTTAGATTCTACATGTCATTGTGGATTGCAACTTCTCTGTATTTATTTTTTTTGTTTTATATATATTTTTCTGTTTTTTTGTCATGGCATGCCACTGACTTCTAACCAACTAATAAATGCTCAGCACAACCAGTGACCTTCAAAGAGAAGCTGGAGAGCCAGGAGGCTGAGGAGGGAGACAGTGTTACTCTGTGCTGTGAGCTCTCTAAACCTGGAGTTCCAGTGGAGTGGAAGAAGGGAACACAGGTCCTGAAGTCTGGAGATAAGTACCAGATGAAGCAGAAGGTCTCTGTGAATGAACTCCTGATCAACAAAGTGTTGCCAGAAGATAGTGGAGACTACAGCTGTGTGTGTGGAGACCAGAAGACCAAAGCTAGCCTCAAGATCAAGGGTAGGAAGGATTTTTAAAGAGTCAGTCTGAGTAAAAAAAATGTTTTAATTATGTAAAATAGTTTTTTATATTTGGATTGGCGACCTGTCCAGGGTGTACCCTTCCTTTCGCCCGATGTCAGCTGGGATTGGCTCTATTCATGCGACCCTGTACGCAGGATAAGCGGTTGACGATGGATGGATGGAGTTTTTTATATATACATGTTTAGACATGTTTGTTTTGGAGTATGCATGTCATCGTGAATCACAAATTGTCACGTGATTGTCTTTTGTGTTCTGTTTTTTTTTGTACAATTTTTTAAAATATATTTTTTGTCATGACATGCCACTGACTGCTAACCATCAAATAAATGCTCAGCCCAACCAGTGACCTTCAAACAGAAGCTGGAGAGCCAGGAGGCTGAGGAGGGAGACAGTGTTACTCTGTGTTGTGAGCTCTCTAAACCTGGAGTCCCAGTGGAGTGGAAGAAGGGAACACAGGTCCTGAAGTCTGGAGAAAAGTACCAGATGAAGCAGAAGGCCTCTGTGAATGAACTCCTGATCAACAAAGTGTTGCCAGAAGATAGTGGAGACTACAGCTGTGTGTGTGGAGACCAGAAGACCAAAGCTAGCCTCAAGATCAAGGGTAGGAGGAAGATTTTCAAAGAGTCAGTCTGAGTACCATTTTTAAAAAATACTATAAAATAACTTTTTATATGTACATATTTAGACATGTTTGTTGTGGAGTCTGCATGTTATCATGTAAGGCAAATTGTCAGTGCTTGCCTTTTGTGTTCTATGTTTGTTTTTGCACCATTTTATATAAATATATTTTGTTATATTTTTTGTCATGGCATGCTACTGGCTGCTAACCATCAAATAAATGCTCAGCCCAACCAGTGACCTTCAAACAGAAGCTGGAGAGCCAGGAGGCTGAGGAGGGAGACAGTGTTACTCTGTGTTGTGAGCTCTCTAAACCTGGAGTCCCAGTGGAGTGGAAGAAGGGAACACAGGTCCTGAAGTCTGGAGAAAAGTACCAGATGAAGCAGAAGGCCTCTGTGAATGAACTCCTGATCAACAAAGTGTTGCCAGAAGACAGTGGAGACTACAGCTGTGTGTGTGGAGACCAGAAGACCAAAGCTAGCCTCAAGATCAAGGGTAGGAGGATTAGTAGGTGACAAGTTTGTTTTTGGCAGGATCTCATCATTATTGTAATTTTTTGTTAAGGTTTTGAACAATTGAAAAATGGATTGTTGTACATATTATGTGCAATACATAAATCACATGCTTGCTTACTTTAATTTTCCTCTTTTGATGATATTTTTAGATGTAAAGCAACAAACTTAGAAACAAAAACATTTACACTTTGCAGGCTTTAGATTATCCACACAGGGGAGCTGTACAGTTGTTGTCAGACCAGGTCTCCACACGCTAACCTGTCTTGCTTCTAGGAAGGTAAAATAATAGCAGCGACAATTTAGAAATGCAGATGTGAAATGACATGTCACCACCCAAAGGCAAAGAATGTTATAGCTGCGGCAGTTATGACACTTCTGCCACCTGAAGACAATGAGTGTTATGTTTTTTTGTTATTTTTTTTATGATGTTAAATAGTCAAATTAAAACATAATTCATTTTATGGCTGTAAAACACCACAAACTCGCCTTTGTTGTTCTTGAGAATACATTTATTATTTGACATATTTCTTTTTGTAAACATCTGTGACCTGTGGCTAATATTAAGCTTTTTCAGGCACTTTACTACAGACAATTGAACAATAGTGTTTATTGTCACATTGCCAAAATTGTCGCTTGTTAAGTGGTACCTATTCTACAATAAACAACAGATATGTAAATGATTTCAATAAGTTTATAGTTAAGATATTCAAAACCAAATGTAAATGTAAAGAGGACACAACACTGTTGTGAGCTCTGTACTTTACCCAGTATTTAGCAGATGATATGCCCCAGTTCACACAACTCATACACTTTGTATGTTAAAAATGCTGAATAGAAAACCTCAACCATACAAACAGTCAGTAGCTATCATAAATAAAGGTCTGCCCTTGTAACACCCATTGCCTCCAAGTGGCCCTAGTGTTACAATTTCCTCAGCTATTACTTTCCTTTCTGTAGATGGCACACATTGCCATGTCTAGATATTTAAATTTTAAACTTCTGCTGCTGTTACTCTTCTTGCCTGTAGGTGGCACATGTTAGGCTGGATCTGCAGGGCCACAAAAGCAGTGCTGAATCTGCTGGCAAAACAGCTCAACAATTAGGTGGTGCTGGCATGGCCTGGTAGCTGGTGCTTTGCACAAATGATAACGTGTCTGTGTTTTTTCATATCTTGCAAGTGCTTATTAACCAGCTAATAAAATCTCAGCCCAACCAGTGACCTTCAAACAGAAGCTGGAGAGCCAGGAGGCTGAGGAGGGAGACAGTGTTACACTGCATTGTGAGATCTCTAAACCTGGAGTCCCAGTGGAGTGGAAAAAGGGAACACAGGTCCTGAAGTCTGGAGAAAAGTACCAGATGAAGCAGAAGGTCTCTGTGAATGAACTCCTGATCAACAAAGTGTTGCCAGAAGATAGTGGAGACTACAGCTGTGTGTGTGGAGACCAGAAGACCAAAGCTAGCCTCAAGATCAAGGGTAGGAAGGATTTTCAAAGAGTCAGTCTGAGTAAAAAAAATGTTTTAATTATGTAAAATAGTTTTTTATATTTGGATTGGCGACCTGTCCAGGGTGTACCCTTCCTTTCGCCCGATGTCAGCTGGGATTGGCTCCATTCCTGCGACCCTGTACGCAGGATAAGCGGTTGACGATGGATGGATGGAGTTTTTTATATATACATGTTTAGACATGTTTGTTTTGGAGTATGCATGTCATCGTGAATCACAAATTGTCACGTGATTGTCTTTTGTGTTCTGTGTTTTTTTATGTACCATTTTTATAATTATATTTTATGTCATGGCATGCAACTGACTGCTAACCATCAAATAAATGCTCAGCCCAACCAGTGACCTTCAAACAGAAGCTGGAGAGTCAGGAGGCTGAGGAGGGAGCCAACATTACTCTGTGTTGTGAGCTCTCTAAACCTGGAGTCCCAGTGGAGTGGAAGAAGGGAACACAGGTCCTGAAGTCTGGAGAAAAGTACCAGATGAAGCAGAAGGTCTCTGTGAATGAACTCCTGATCAACAAAGTGTTGCCAGAAGATAGTGGAGACTACAGCTGTGTGTGTGGAGACCAGAAGACCAAAGCTAGCCTCAAGATCAAGGGTAGGAAGGATTTTCAAAGAGTCAGTCTGAGTAAAAAAAAGTTTTAATTATGTAAAATAGTTTTTTATATGTACATGTTTAGACATGTTTGTTTTGGAGTATGCATGTCATTGTGAATCACAAATTTTCAGTGATTGTCTTTTGTGTTCTGTTTTTTTTTGTACAATTTTTTAAAATATATTTTTTGTCATGGCATGCCACTGACTGCTAACCATCAAATAAATGCTCAGCCCAACCAGTGACCTTCAAACAGAAGCTGGAGAGCCAGGAGGCTGAGGAGGGAGACAGTGTTACTCTGTGTTGTGAGCTCTCTAAACCTGGAGTCCCAGTGGAGTGGAAGAAGGGAACACAGGTCCTGAAGTCTGGAGAAAAGTACCAGATGAAGCAGAAGGCCTCTGTGAATGAACTCCTGATCAACAAAGTGTTGCCAGAAGACAGTGGAGACTACAGCTGTGTGTGTGGAGACCAGAAGACCAAAGCTAGCCTCAAGATCAAGGGTAGGAGGATTTGTTATATAGACGTGTCTTTGTAATTTAGAAAATTACATTTCATGGTGTAACGTGTATTTTTTTAGTTTGTCACTGCAGGAATTTTTTTTTATCATAGACTACTTTAAAATGTATGTTGAATTAATAGGAGGAATATTTGTATTACACTTTGATTTTGTCTTGACTGATGCGCTTGTATTTGAGCTCTTGCCTTTGCTATGGAATTTCTGTTGCTGTCTCTTTGTTTTCTGTTGTCTTGCTGAATGTCAGCATTCTGTGTCGGTATCTAACATCAGATTTATCAGAGGCTACCTTCACTGTTAAGGTGGTCGATCAGTTGGTTGGATGTCTTTGCTTCAGTTTCTTTTCTGCAGTATACTCTGTGCTGTGATACAGAGTTTGAATTTTGATCTTTTCTTTAGAAAATGTTTCATAAATTCTTCCACTTTTTCTTTTTTTACTGAGGATTTGAGACTACAGAACAAAGCAGTCTTTTTTTTCACACCACACAGTTTGTCATTTTAGCAGACTTTGTTGCTGCTCTTTTGTGTGTCTTATGTTATGTTTTTATTAATGGTAGTGCGCACCATTGGTATGGTTATGTATGCTGGTCCATAAACTATTGTTATCTATTTGATCAGACAAGCGAACTGATCGTATTTCATGTTCTATAGTAGTAGTCAGCTGTGTTTCATGATGCTTGCTGATTTCTAAAATCTACAAGTTGTTGTGAACCATTTTGTTTGGTGATATTTAGCTTTTGGTGATTATGATGACGGACAGTAGATCAAGTATGTTACAGCATTCTGAATTCCAATTGTTTCCTCTCAGCTGTGAAGCTAGCAGCTCCTCCTTCAACTACTAAACTGGAATCTAAGAGGCAGGAGACCAAAGAAACAATAGAAGGTATGGAAGGAAGATGGCAATGTCCTGGCTTGACTTTCAGCTTTATGTCCTCTGTCCATCTTGATAATGGCTTTTTGTGTTGTCATGTGCAGCCTGCCCTTAAATTGGGCCTGTAACTTTTGGCCTATATATGTCTGATAAATGTATTATTGTGCCATTATTTCATTCAAATTTGCTAGATTATTTCAGGTTGCAGTTTTGTGTGCCTCTGCTTTGTCAAATGCCCCATCTGTCTTATAGTAGAATTGTGTTTTTATGTGGTTCTTTTTCCTCAGTGCTATGCACTATATGTAGCATAACCATCTCATCTAAAAAATGAAAAGATATACAAACCCTTTTATTAGTGCCAATTGTGCTGGTAGCATGTTGATGGTTTGAGAACGATACCTGTTGTCGGCTGGAGATCACATTTGCATAATTTACTTCTGTGTGGCATGATTAACTGTCCTTGACATTGTATTTGCGTGGGTTGAAAAGACTGAAGGATTTTGAATTTGTGGCTGTTATACAGACTGTGCTCAGGTGTTCATATTAATTACTACAGGTCTGGCAATGTCACTGGTTGCTGCCATTATACTTTATGCAGCATTTCTATGTCCATATTTGCATTTCAGCCAAGTATCCTGAATCTCCCGCTGTAGCTGCTAAAGACAAAAGCAAGAGGCAAGAGATAAATGAGACAGCAGAAGGTAATTTATCAAAGAATCCTAGCTTTGTGTGGTTATTTAGCCCATGTGCATTTGTAATTAATCAGTGTGTGCAATGCATCGTTTTGTTAAATGGCAGCCAGAAGGGAGAAACACATTAAGCTATTCAGTACATAACAATGTCACGCTATGTCTTGGCTGCTGACTGGTGTTATTAGACAGAAACTTGTTGGGTCATGAATTGGCTTACATTGTGTCTTGTTGTTTCAAGAAGGAATTGCTTTAAGGCTGATTGTGGTTTTACTCTACCTTTATATTTTTGGGCTATTTCATCTGCCTACTGATAAATGTGACGTTTTTATTCACCTGTTAAACCTGTCATTTTTTTGCGGTTTATGCTACGATTGTATTAATCTGTGGATTTCTGTGGTCTCTGGGTTACTTTGTTGCATGGAGGCATACTTGTTGGTATAGTGAAATGTATTTGTTCCCATCAGTTGTTATTACATGTAGCTAGTGCTATCCTTTCAAAACTGTTGGTCCAATGTTGTGTTCAATTTCATAGCGGTGGAACTGCCAACTACTGGACAGACTCCTAAACAGCAGGAGCTTCAGAGAGATGCACGAGAGCCCAGACTGAGAGGTGAAGGTAATGAGACACATGTTTTCATGGCTTTTGTCAAATACTGTGACATCTGTCAGTGCTGTAAGCATGGTCGTTATTGTTTTATTCCAAAAAAATCTAATATATTCCAGATAATTTCAGGCTCTTAACAAGTAAGAAGAGCTGGAAATATGGAGGGAATTGGCAGCTAAATGTGTATGCAGAAGGATATATTTCCTAGTGAATGTGTAAGATGTGTAAATTGTTAGCCCTCGTGGGTTGCTGTTCTGTCAAGTCCATTTTGTGAAAAATACTGCATTTTGTGGAGTTGTTGTGTTTGCTACTCTTGGTCTGTGTTGAATGTCGAACATTTTGATGTTGTGTGTTTATGGCACTATTTGGCAGGACTCTGTGTTGGATCATTCTTGTGTGTTGGATTATTGATAGTGATTGTGAGAGATGTTTTAATTGTTGTATTGAGTTTGATTGCTTTGTCACAGATATTGCTTATCCTCATTTTGAAACTTACTGTGTGGACATGAACATATTTAACCTAACTTACAGACATTTGTCCGTCAAATTGTAAACAGGTGACAGTAGACTGGGGCACTTGTGTGTCATTACTGTAAGATTGTGAGGTTAATATTGTGTTTTATCCCAGTTGAAAAGACTGCTACTGGAATAGTTGCAAAACAAGATACACAGAGGCAGATGACCAAAGAGCCAACTGAAGGTATGCAAAGATTTTTCTCTTTATTGGCCTTGCGCTTCTTCTTCCACATCCCGGTCAGTCTTTGCATTGCCAAATGCAGGTGTGTCTCTATTGATGATTCTTCCTTTCTATGGTGTCTCATGTTATGTGTTTGGCTGTAGCTTGTTTGTGCTGAGCAAGGGGTGGGCAATTGACAAAAATAATTCAATGTTAAATAATCTTTTAAGGTTAGGTTTACAGAATGCCATAGTATGAATCACCAACTATTTTAATAATCGATTAATTGGCTTTGTAAATCTGAATAGTTTCTGTTTTCTTTACTCCTCTACACTGTAAAACCAGGTTAATTAATACTCAAAATCTTTGTGGAAACTACATCAAAATTTTTAAGTAGTGGTAATAATAAACCTGAGTAACATAAATATAATACTTACATTTTCTAAAACCTTTAATTTCAGCATACTAAATTACATTGATTCAATGATGCTTATTAAAATGTAATTCCACTGACTAATCCTTTACTCAATAAATGTAATTGCACAACTTCTACTCAAAAAATGTAATTGTGCTATACTCAAATACTAATGGAAACTCACTCAACAAATTTAGTCAACTTAAAATTTGCTAAATGCATATTTTCATATTTCAGTAATCCTCAAAAATACGAATACAACTCCATTATTACAATTCAAGTTCTCTTTATTAAACAATCATTATCAAAAAAACATCTCCTGTCATTTTTACATTTCACAGAAACAAAATATGTCACAATGAAACTTGTTTCCATCAGTAGGAAAAAATCTAAATTTCTCTTTTTAAAGCTCATCTTGGATGAAGCTGAAACAACTATTTAAGTAATTGACTGCTTGATCAGATAATTAACCAGCAACAATTTTAATAATCAATTTGTTGAACATTCCCTATTTTCAGGCTCTTAATGATATTTTTTGGTCTTAAGTGACAGTATTTTGAATCTCTTGAACAAAGCTAAAAACGTTTCTTTTACTTCCTGCACTGTATTTTTGTGGAAAATGTGACCATGCAAAATTTTATTCCATTATCAGCACTTTTACCTAAATAATACAAAAAGGATGCTTTAAATGTGGGAGTAAGAAAAAATTACCAATAAATAAAAGAAATTCAACTTTTATGTAATCAAAAGCAAATAAAGATGGCTAATTACAATTGTTTAAAATAAGCAGTCCGGTACAGTGCAAATTGTTAAGTGAAGTAGACGAGGTAATGGAACAATATAAAAGATACCACTGAGCAAAAACCTATGTTTTGAATATCCCTTGCTGTAAGCTTTCAGTTAACATACTGAGCGTATAGATGGACAGTTCAGAAGTGCAATTAGGAGTTTGTAACAAATGCATTTGCAGCCACCTTTCACTTGGGTTGAAGCAGACCCACCATGAGCTTTGTTAGTGACCACAGTGAGGAGTGGCAGCATGTCTGGTTCATCTTCGCTCTGGAAAATTCAAGGTTGGGGTGTCGTGCACTGTATGCTCATCGGTGTCTCCCACACACTTAAAAGGATAGGCTCATGTTGTTCCAAGCCTGTCTTGATACAATACTCACATGCCAAAATGTTATGAGTTACTGGTGGCTGTCATGATTCCTTCTGTCTCTGCTGGCATTATAATCCTTTCCTAATCTGACTCAACTGTAACAGAATGAGATGAAAATTCCCAGTCCTCATTCTAAAGTTCATTAGAAACTGTTATGAGGCTTCAGCAGTCTGACTTGGACAAATCATATCATAAGCATTTTTAGAAGTTAGTCTTTGTGTGTTTACTTGCTGAGCTGCAGTAGTGGGATAGTTCCTGGTAATCACATATGACAATAAACAGAATATCAAATGAAACAACAAATTTGAGCATGTCCTCTTTGGCTTTGGAAAGCAGTGATCGCCATTTTTCACAATTTTCTGACATTTTATAGACCAAACAACTAATCGATTCAATGAGAAAATAAAGAACAGATTAATCGATAATGAAAGTATTCGTTAGTTGCAGCCCTACTGTATACTGATTGATTGATTGATTTTTATTTAGAAAAGGACCATGTGCAATTAATAACATAAATGTAAACATTTGATGCATTACACCAGAGTTAGCCTTAGGCTAATTTACATCTGCAGTCCCCAAATACAAATAAATACAAATACATACAATATAAATATCGACATTATTCAAAAATACACGGCATATCAAACATAAAACATCAGACATTGTTCAAGAGCATATACCATGTACTTAATGCCCTTCACTGGCACACACACACACACACACACACACCACAATCACAACATACAATGGTACGCCAACACCCAACCTCTTCTCAACCCTTACGTCAACCCTACAATAAGAAGGTAAATGTGAGTAAAGGAAAAAATTATATTACCCACTGACAAAATAGTGGGTGCATTGTTGTGAAAGTTTTGGATGTTTTTTTAAGTTATCTTTAAAGGCCCCAAACAAGTCACAAGTTTTTATATCATCTGAAATTGTGTTCCATTGTTTCACAGCTTTGATAGGAAAGCCTGCCTGCCCAAATGCTGAATAGCGAAAGGGTACAGTGCAGCTGTCTCAGGCAAACAGGTGGGGGCCAGACCTTTTAAGATTTTATAAACTGTGCATAAATTTGAGAATATTCTAAAATTTTCAAAAGTTAGTAGATTGTACTTATGTAGTACATCACAGTGATGGTACCTGAGTGGCTTTTTGTCTAGAATTTTCAAGCCCTGTTTATACAGGGATTCTAAGGGCCTAATTGTTGTTTGGCTAGCCTGCCCCCAGCAGGTAATACAATATGCAATGTGTGAAAAAATAAGGGCATGTAAGAATATCTTAGCAGCCTCTATTGATAGAGAGGATCTAATCTGTCTATAATTTTTCAAATTGTATTTAATAATTTTTGTCATTGTTTATGTGTTTTTTGAAAGTCAGGTTTGGATCAAGCAGCACTCCAAGATATTTAATTTCAGTAACGGTCTCAATCTATTCACCTTTAAAGCAGATGTTTATGTCTAGGGTGTTTAGTTTAGCTTTGGAAAAGAACATGCCTTTTGTCTTACCTATATTCAAGGTTAGGCAGGATTGGTCTAACCAACTAATTTAGTAGCAGCTTGTTGAGCTGATGTTGCATGGGTGTACAAAACTGTATCGTCAGCATAGAGTTGTACCTCTACATCATGACAATGCTGAGGTAGGTTATTAATGTATAAGCTAAAGAGATTGAAGAAAGATTGAAGCTAATGAGTCGAGACATGAGGACATTGTGATTAACTGTGTCAAAGGCCTTACTTAAGTCCAGAAACACAGCTCCCACAACTCCTCCTTTATCAAGAACAGATCTAATTTGCTCTGTTAAGTATAGAACTGCTGTTTCTGTGGAGTGAAGTTCTAAATCCAAACTGGACTGAATTTAGACCAGGGTTGCAACTGTTAATGTGATCTGTAAGTTGGTTTATGACCACTTTTTCAGCAACCTTGGAAATTACTGGTAACAAGCTAATGGGTCTGTAATTACTGACTACATGGCGGTCGCCAGCTTTAAAGATAGAAATTACAATCGCATGTTTCCAGTCTATAGGAAATAAACTATTAGTATAGTAATTGAGAGGTTTACTAAATGGTCAATAGGGGGGGGTTAGAGTAGCTGAATGTTTTTTAATAAACATTGTGTCCAGATGAAAAGCATCTTTGCTTTTTGAATTTCTTAGAGAACAAATCACTTTCTTTATTTCCTCTTCACTTACTGCGACTAAGTTAAAACCCTCTCTTGCAATACCAAAGCTATTACATTGTTCCCCTAGTTTAAAATGGTTTCCTAATTCCTGAACAGAATCAATAAAAAAAAGAATTAAAAGCAGAGGCAATTTTTATGTCATCATCTATTATCTTGTTTCGAACTGTAAGCCGGATATCCTCTGTATAATGGTAAGCTCTCCCTATTAAATTATTAATACTTTTCCATATTTGGCTACTATTACCGTTAGCATCCTTCAAAAGTTTGAGAAAAAATTGTGACTTGGCCAATCTCAATTCATTAACCACTTTGTTTCTCAAGCCTTTGTAAACCAATATGTCTGTATCTCTTTTAGTCTTGATGGACTTTTTTAAGGCAGCATCTCTACTCTTCATCAGTTTCCATAAATTTTCACTGAACCTCTCTTCATCTCTGACAACATTAATTTTTGATGTAAATAATTGGCAACTATTCTACAGGCAGGATGATGTGTTATTCTTAAATCTATTTTTAGTTAATTTCCTTGCCACCAGAGTTAAGTTGTGGTCAGATAAGCCAGTGATAAAATTATAACTTTTTGTTATCCTTTCTGGTTTATTGCAAAAAAAAAAGAAGATCGAGTTGTGTACTGGCGCGTTTTGTGATTCTAGTTGAGCCCTTTACCAGCTGTTCTAAATGGAATTGATCTGTAATTACTTTTAACTTTCTCCTCTTTAACTTGTCTTCCCAGTTGAGGTTAAAATCCCCCATGAGAATAATTTCTTTATTCTGGTCACATTCTTTAAGACTGTCAGTAAGTTCTGTATAAAATGTATCATTGGCAGTTGGGGGTTTATAGAGGCCTATAATAATGAATGACATTTGCTGAGACAAGATGACTTTCAGTGCAACATACTCAAGGGAGATAGCTGACTTAAAAAACATACGTTCGCATTTGATAGAGTCTTTTACATACATAAGTACCCTGCCCCCTTTTCCCACAGTCCTGTCTCGCCTAAAGCATTGAAAACCATTCATTGTAAATACATTAATAGGAGTAGATTGTTGAAGCCATGTTTCAGATATACACAAAAAGTCCAAATTTGAATTCGCTAATAAATGAGTCAACTGATCGGTTTTAGAGATGATACTTCAGATGTTTAGGTGACCACCCAAAAGCCCTCTTGGTTTCCGCTTCGGGTCCCAAACGACCTTTGCATGATTAACTGTTTGAAAAGTTTTATGAGCAATATGTTTTTCAACAGCAGGATTGATGTAGCTGTGGCTGG